AACTTCTGTATGGACTATCAGTTCTACTTCACAGCCGATAAAGAGAAGCACTCCCTAAACACTTCTCACATTTCTCTCCTCTCCTCTCGGCTCATCTCTCCAGCACCGCGCGTATTCAATGTGTAGCAGTTCTTCGAGTAAAATGAGTGTCAAAACACAAACTGTACAAAAAGTCGAGCCAAACTCACTACTCGCAGGTAGAATCAGAGTCGAAGTTAAGGGAACAAACCCCGACGCGAAAGGCTCAACTCGAAGAACTGACAGTTCTTCGAGTTCGCCTCGAATATATCCCTGGAAGGTGTCGACTCCATCCAACGCTCCTCGACCGTCTGCCGCGGCCCAACGTTCCCCGACTCCAACTCAAACTCAACGTGTCTCAACTCAAATCGACCCAACGTCTCGAGTCATGACAGGATCAAACGCTGATTGACTCCAAATGGGTGTACAAGTTGAAAGACAATCCAGGTGAAGACAAGGCAAAAATTTTCAAAGCTAGAATTGTGGCTAGATGTTTCAACCAAGAGAATGGCGTGGACTACAACGAAGTTTTCTCACATGTAGCTAAATATGCCATTATTCGTATGGTATGTGTACTTGCTCTGATCTTTGATCTTGTTATTGATCAGATGGATGTGATTACAGCCTATGGATATTTAGAGTAGGAGATCTACATGAGACAACATGTTGATTTTGAGGTCAAAGATAAAGAGAGGTTGGAGAGGTTTGTAGATTGTTGAAATCATTGTATGGATTGAAGCAAGCTCCTAGGCATTGGAACACGCAATTTGATGAGTTCATGAAGTCACAAGGTTTTTTATGGAGCGTGTATGATTCTTTTATCTACATGAAGAAGATAAATGATGAGACGTTCAATTTAATCATTTTTTTCTTTCACGTTAACGACATGCTCATCCTGGCAAAAAACTAATCTGATGTTGATGAATGCAAGAATAAGTTGAAATTTGCATTTATATTAAGCATAGAGATTCATAGGGATCATGAACAAAATAGGCTATGGTTGAGTCAAGACAAGTATGTTCGTATACTTGACAAGTTCAACATGGTCGATTTCAAAGGAGTATGGATTCCTTTGGCAGCACATTTCAAACTCTCCGCAGCTCAATGTTCTACCGATGCTTTAGAGAAGGAAAGAATGTATTCTCAATGAACAAGTTGTAAGCAACCTCATGTATTTGATGGTCTGCACTAGGCCATACATTACTTTTGCAATGGACAAGATGAGTAGATACATGTCAAATACAGGGAAAGTTCACTCGGAAGCAGTGAAATGGATTATGAGATATTTGAAGAGAACTTTGGATTATGGCAAACTGTTTGATGGTATATTAAACAATGCCAAATCCTTGTTAAATTACGTTGATGTTGACTATGGACAAGATCTAGATAAAAAAATACTACAACAGGATATGTGTTTACACTTGGCGGTGGAAGTTTTAGTTGGAGGTCTACCTTGCAGAAATGCGTAGCTCAATCAACACGGAAGCTAAATATGTGGCAGCAGCAGAAGCAACAAAGGAAACTATTTGGTTGGAGAGACTTATCATGGAAATGGGATTGAAGCAGAGCGTTGTTAATCTTCATTGTGATAGCGAGAATGCTTTACATTTGGCTGTGAACTAGGTCATGGATAGCAGAGTGAAGCACATCAACATCAGGTATCATTTTATCAAATAAGCAATGTTTGATCAAATGATAGTCAAGATCGACGGTAAACTCAATCCTGCTGATGCTTTAATTAAAGTTATTTCTTTGGAGAATTTTAGACGACATTGTGCTAGCATGCAGGTTTTGCATGGGAAGGACATGTAGAATTTGTTAGCATAGTAACTTTAGTTATATCTTTATATATTTACTCTATACTGTGATGGCTACGGTTTAGTTAACTCTTATGTAGAGAGGGAACTTGTATTAAGTTATTGTCTAGAACTTCTCCAGGAGTAGACTATATAATTACTCCTGGGGTCTACGAGATTTCTGAACCCTCTATGCAAGCAAGTTTCCTACTTACCTCTTTATGTTATTACTCTATCATGTTATGGCTACGGTCTAGTTCTAGTTAACTTTCATGTAAAGAGAGGCTTTCTGTTAGGTTTATGTTTAGAATTTCCCGCTGAGTAATATTACAGGTTACAAAGATAATTATTTCCTTAACATGAGTTAAGGGATAGATTGTTGAGGTTAACTCCGGTTAAAGAGTAATCTCAAGTTATAGCTAGGTGTGTCGCTGGCTTTGGATATAAATATAACTCCTAGGCTTCTACTTAAGATGTATTCTGTATTCACTTGTTAGTAAACCTTCTCGCATGTTTTAGCCGTGGATGTAATCATTGAGGGTGAACAACGTTATATGAGGCTCTCGTTACATGAGGCTCTCGTGTGATTCGTACTTGGCTTGAATGACTCTTGGTTTTACTTTAAGACAAATATTTGAAAATAGTTTAGAAATGCGCATCAAACAATTTAATTTAAACATGCTTTTCCAAGAGCTAATTTTAATATTTATTGATACCTTTATTTTTGAAAATCACTACTAACATAGTAACATAAAATAAAAATAACATAACATGAAAATAAATAGAAAAAACATTACATTTTTTCTTCATTATTACAAAAATTTTGAATTATTTTATACGTTTGTAGGTTTTGGTTTACTAAAAATACTTCAGAATGATGTTCAAGTAAATAAAATGAATAAAATTTAATTTTAATTTTTAAAAAATCACATTAGCTTACAAGATACATGTAATTTTTTCAGCATATATTAATAACACAAATTGCCAATTTTTTCCCAATCTGGCAAGTCTTAACGTAAAACCTAAAACTGAGTACAAATTTTACGATACACTCAAATAATGTAGTTCACCCTCAAGAGCTACGTCCACGGCTGAAACATGCGAGAAGATTTGCTGACAAGGGAATACACAATACTTTAGCTCCTGATCGAAGACTTGGCTTTGGGGGTATATTTATACCCAAAGCCAGCGACACACTTAGCTATATATAGCTATAACTTGAGGTTACTCCTTAACCGGAGTTAACGTCAACAGCAAGATGTGAATAAATTCATAGGAAAAATAAATAAACACATTTTTCAACTTTGTGGATAGTCAAAATCCATAAAAAATTCAAATTTATTTATCCATCCATTGAATTAATTTTTTAACCCAAATTTTTAGCAATATACATTCCTTTAATTCTATCAATCAGATTTTAAAATATTTAGGAATTGAAATTATTGTAAAAATATTAAAAATATAAAATATACATATATTTTTTAGATTTGATTGTAACAAAAAGAATTTTAATCAGTTTTTGCATTAATTAATAAATTCGTTGTTATTGATTTTGAATTTTATATCATTGCAATAAAAATAAAATATTTTTTTATAACAATTTTGTCATATTATGTTCACATTTTCAGTTTGATAATCAAACACTTGCAAACCATAAAATTGTAATTACAAATTAAATTGAATATTTATTTATATATTTCAAATGTACTTTAAACTCCATCTAACATTTCAAATGATCATCCAAGATTATAAACTGACACAGTATGTGGTGTTGGTGGCCGCAACTTATACATGAAAAATAATTCATTTAGATTTGGATGAATGAATCCTACTTTTGGAGCGTGAAGATCTTAAGTGAAAAAGTTTTACTTGATACTTTATACATAGGATTTCATCCATTTAGATGTGAGGATTGAGGAGACTTTTACTTGACATTCTTGCTTAATGAGTGTGTGGAAATAGCTTGTGTGAGATGAAGATAGAATGTTCATGCAATTTTCTTATCTTATTTACAGTCTTGTATTTAACTCGTGGCGGAGTGAGAAATAGTTTGACTCATTGTGTGCATTTTAAGAGAGACTTATACTATTGTGAGTGTCTATCTCTCTTGACTCTTTCTTGTCAAACATGTCATATGTCATGTCTCATATGAATATGAGACAACAACCGAATTTTCTTGGAGATGTATCACCTAAATGACAACATGTCTCGTACATGTTTAACAAAATGACAAAATTTCTCCTCACATAGATGAACTTCTTAATGCTTTAGAACATTGAACAGAAATTGAGTCATAAGTGTATATTTGTCACTCGTTTCATGTAACGTGAAAACAAGGTGCTATTTAGAAACCTATTATGATACATTTTATTCTTGTAGACTTAGATCAACATTTATTTACATATATACACATGTGAATGTTAAAATGAATGTTGAAATATATATTTAAAAAAAATTCAATAAAACATGATTCCAGAAACACAATTCAAGAACAATGATTAATAACTACTCTATGTGACTACTGCAAAGATTACTGCTTACAAACAATAGTTCAGCACAATGTGCCTTCTCGTCTCAAAGTCACTTCCACGATTGTGAAATGTCACCAGAAACTGAGATTGTTGAGAGCACACACTGTCCCGTCTGATCTCAAAGAGACACAATTCTACCCTTGAGAAATGCCATCTCCGGTCTCATATTGAGACCGGAGATGATATGATAGTTTGTGTGGTCGTTTTAACATTCCCACATATATATATATATATATATATATATATATATGTGCCGTTCTCTCATGACAATAAGATTGGAGGACGTTGGATTGAAAATTTGCACTTTGAAGCTTTCTCATTTCCTTAATATTGTACAAGGAATTAAAGAGTTTACTCTTCCCATACTTTTGTCAGTAATGTTCATCGTCCTAAGAGATGCTCCACATTTTCATTCACTTTCTCCCGTCTGTGGCTTTAAATGTACATGCTCTCCAAATGTAAATCAAGTGTACATTTAGCCATATATACACGCCATTGCCAAACAAGGTAATATGTGAACGTGGGTGACGAAGGTATCAAAGATGCGAGTCATGCTACCCAACTATCCATCACAGGGCCGCATGCCAATAACACCTCAACTTGTGTAGAAAGAAACATTAACAAACACACTGCGTCCTCAATGTGGACATAACTTGCAGAAAGCCGAACTCATATGAATGAAAGAATAAGGGTTTGGGTAGAATTATACACAAAAAATTCACGTTTGAGCAGGACGCCGCTTGCTACCATCCGCCCATGATCTTTTCAGTTTAGGAGTTAAGGCTGTCCTTTTCCCCACTTTGCTTTCTTGCATACCGGCTTTCTCACCAGCTTCTGGACTTGCAGTCAACGACCTGTCCAGGGGTTGGCTTCTTCTAGTTCCGACGGGCCTAGGGCTACTTACACTATTCCCACTATTCCTACTGGGTTCACGTATTTCTTCTGGGCTGCGACTAGCGTAGAATAACCTACTGTTCAACTTACTGGCTACTCTTTCTCTACCTCCACGTTTTTTCTTATGAATTACAAGATCCACAGGATGCAAGATTCCACCCCTACTGTCCTCCTCTACATTCTCACTTGTCGCAAGCTTACCATTCTTTTTTGGATCTTTACTCTTGTCCTTGACAGTCCTCTTACTCTTCTTTTCTACACTGACGACCTTTTCCTTCACACTAACCTCCGGAGTTGGTACTGTAGTGTGCTTTGGAGGAGGTCGAGCAGAACTCCACCGAGTAGTTGGTGCCTCACTTCCAGACTTCACCCCTCCACTCTCCACGTGCTCGACTTTGCGGGCTGCCACGGCAGGAGCAGGACTAGGCTGGGCTGGAACAGGCATATTTTTCGTTTTTACTGGACTGAAATCGACATCTGGAAACTGAACAGTCATCCGCCCAAAAAAAACACTTTGCAATCTTCGTGCATCCGCCTGAACCTGCGATTTCATAATCCAACCTGAGTTACTAGAATGTACTAATAATTGAAAAGTTCCAACAATATTCCAAAGCTGGACGAAACCAAAGAAACGAGATCATAACAGAAATTGAACGGTTCGTCTTAACATACGTTTCGTTCCAAATATATTCTTCGATTGGAGGCTATCAAGAAAGGTCTGAAGGCATAGGCTTTAGAGAAGGACAATCAAAGAGGTAAAATTATGAGTACATACCTCAGGAGTGAAGTTGTAACGGGCAACGTTGTCGAGCATTAATTGTACATCTGCGGCAAAGTCGAGAACTCCAGGATACTCGAAGTGATCAAGCCGGTGCTCGATGGTACGAGCATCAATAGGTCTTGTGATAACCTTATAATAATCTGGACATTCGCTTCGTTTCGGAAGCTCAATAAACAGAGCAGTAACTGCCCTACCCTCCTTATTCACAGCACCTTGCAATTTGCCGAGCACTTGCTTGCACTGCGGACAGATCGACACAGATATACATTACAAGCCGAAAAAAGAATACCCAACAAATGTTGAGCTCAAAACATCGTCAACGTCCATAATTCTCAGGGTTTTACATGGCATTTCCTTGAGGTGCTCACTTCTGTCCAAAAGCCTGCACATCTGATTGCCCTATGCTACGAACCAACATCAATGATATGCGAAGAAGTACCTTCTTTTGCATGTTATCTGGCATGCGAGGTAAACTCCAGTTCGGAAGGGCGCTCGAATGCGCCAGCACACTGGCATGAGCCATGACGTTTTGGTGTGCGACCGCATTTTGATGTGCCAAAGCATTTTGATGGGCAAGTGCATTTTGATGCGCAAGTGCATTCGCGTGTGAAATCCTCACATCTTCCACAGGCTCCTGGAAGCCGTTCGACCAGTTGTGCTTAAAAACAATACGAGGTCGAGAAATCACGTTCTCATAAGGTCTACCACTTGAACTTGGAGGCATCATCTGTCTCACATTATTACTTATCCCCCATTGGAAAGATCGTTCAAATGGTGTTTCCATTGGCTCCATAGCTCTCGGTCCTGGAGGCTGCCTCATTTCGAATCTTGAAAACGGAGGACCATAAGGGAAAATGGGATTCATTCCGACAATGCCTTCATTGCTTCTGTCACTTGCTCCGTCAAAATGCGTCATCCGCCGGTGGCGATTGCTACGCTTACGCTTCCTTTGAGGCTGTACAGTTTGTTCGTCTCCATCTTCACGCTCTTGAGCCCAGCTTTCAGATCTGAGGGTATCCGGCGACTCACCACCGGAGCCAACAATTTCCCCCTCTTCAAGGTCTTCGATCTGAATCCAGCAGAACAACGTGAATTACAACACCATCCGAATGAACAACAGGAAGTGAACGGCACAAGCTAAACCTCAAGAAGTTTCCGCACAAAAGTCCCAACTATGGCGGCTTGCGAAGAGTCGAGAAGTAGGGTCTTTTACTACGAGACTCAAAATAGTCCGTACTAGAGCGAATTGTCAATCGAACACGTGGATCCCTTCCTACGATACGCACGATAGTCCCTAGTTCGATCAACCGCGTTTTATCCGTACTTGTTTTACCACGAGACGCACAATTCATGCATAGTCTTATAGCACACTACGAGCGTTCCGGCAAGAGGTTAATAAATCCCGAATGAAAACAAGTTAGCCGGGTCAGAGCTAATGCGACCGGTAAGCTGTCGGACCAGGCTACTAGGAACCGGCAGAGACGTTAAGCCGCTGCCCGCAAAGGTATCAAGCGATACATCTATTCCGGTCATATACGATATACGATGCGGTAGATACGATATACGATACGTTCGCTATGCTGACGATCTTTAGGGCCCGAAGCACCTATGGAACTCAGGTGCTTCGAGCCCTCGATACCTACCGAAGGAATTACGATTGAAGGAAATCAACGATTTCCTTCAATCTGACCTGCACCTAGAAATAAAGAAGGACAACTTGGTCCGCGAGCGTTCCAATTGGATTTTAAACAAGGCGTTTTTTAGGGGGTCAGCATCCATTATGTGGCGTTGAGGTCACATCGCCACATAATGCGATAATTTCTATTACCATCGGCCACATAATGGCCGATGGTAATAGAAATGCGGACGACCGCATATCCCCACTTGCGGCCAGAGCAGCACAGTACTGCCTACTACGGCGGCAGTACTGTCTGATACTTCCCGATTCCGGCCGGTGGACATAGCAAGTGCAGACGACCGGATATTCCAACTAACAGCCGGAGCAGGAAAGTAATGCCTGCTACGGCGGAAGTACAGTACTGTCCGATACATCCCGATTACGACCCGAAGCAACAGCAAATGCAGACGACCGGATAATCCGACTTACGGTGAATTACCAGTAAATCTGACTCGCAGCCAGAAAAGGCCCAAATGGGGAGCCAAGGTTGACGAGGAGAGCTTCGCTCAATGCGCAGCTTTCCACGTCCACCTTGTCATTAAGGACTCTCCTAACAATGGTTTATACACCTTATCTTCCCAAGTGCAAAACGTATGGGCTGTTAATCCTACATCCATCTGTGTCATATGTATGTGGGTGTGGGGTGCGACAGCAAAGCGACACATGACACACCGTCATCCGTTAATATCGGTTCAATATCTTCCCACTTCTTAAATTCCAAGTAGTAAAACAATTGACGAATAAACTCCCGCCAATGTAGGGGTATTCCTGCCAGTCGTTTTATCGAACAATAGGGAGGCTCCACATGTCAAAGAAGAAGCAATAAGAATCCTCCGGGAAACCACGAACGCACAATTCGACCAAACACGTCAAAACATGGCTACCATTCTCTACTACAGGCACCAGGTATTAACATGGTCCGTTGAATATCCACGGACATATTAAAGTAAATCGACCTTCCGACTCAATCCCGATCGAATATTCCGACTTACGGCCGGAGCAGCACAGTACTGCCTACTTCGGCGGCAGTACTGTCCGATGCTTCCCGATTCCGGCCAGTGGAAATAGCAAGTGCGGACGACAGGCTCATCCACCTAACAGCGGGAGCAGGAAAGTACTGCCTGCTACGGCGGAAGTACTGTCCGATACATCCCGATTACGACCCAAGCCAACAGCAAATGCAGACGACCGGATAATCCGAGTTACGGCAAATTACCAGTAATTCCGACTTACAGCCAGAAAAGGCCAAAAAGGGAAGTCATTGAAAACGCGGACAGCTTCGCTAAAAGCGAAGCTTTGCACGTCCACCTTGTCGTTAGGGACTCTGCTAAAAATGGTTTTATACACTTCACCTCTCCAAATCTAAAACTTATGGACTATAATTCCAACATCCATCTGTGTCATATGTATGGGGGTGTGGCGTGCCACATCAAAGCGACACATGACACACACCCATCGCTTGATATTGGTTCAATCCCTCCCCACTATTTAAATTCCCACTGGTAAAACAATTGACGAATAATTAACATGGTTCGTTGAATATCCACGGACATATTAAAATAAATCGATCTTCCGACTGAACCCCGATCGCATATTCCGACTTACGGCCGGAGCAGCACAATACTGCCTACTACGACGGCAGTACTGTCCGATACTTCCCGATTCCGGCCGATGGAATTGACAAGTGCGGACGACCGGATATTCCAACTAACAGCCGGAGCAGCAAAGTACTGCCTGCTACGGCGGATGTATTGCCCAATACATCCCGATTACAGCCCGTGGCAAGAGCAAATGCAGACGACCGGATAATCCGACTTACGGCTTATTACCGTAGATTATGACTTACAGCCAGAAAGGCCAAAAAGGGGAGACATTGAAGACAGGTGAAACAGGTGCTACACCACCACAAACTGGCTGTATTTTAACCAGCCAAAGTCTCGGCTGGCAAATACCCAGATAGATACTCACGGCAAAATTCCCGATATCCACGGCGACCCACGTATCATGTACCCATATGACATGGTACGATGACGAGGCTGCGTGCATCGGACTGGACTGCAGCAGATTGGCTTGTTCTATGACCTTACACGTATTAATACCCATTAACCGCTTTACCTCTACTGCTCTGTGGACGCAAAACAAGGTCTCTTATACAATACCTATGAAGTAGGTACAATTATTCATTGAAACGCGCAATTCACTTCACGTAGTATGCGACAGGTGTAAAAGCAACCCTTCTACCCATTAGAATTACCACGTTCGAAACATGGTATGCGATTATTTACGAGCCGTAAATAATAATAATAATAATAATAATAAGCCTACTACTACTACTAGATTTTCACGCATTACGGGTCATGTTACATGTAGTATGAAACATAGGTCAAACCATCCCTCCCACCAACCCTCCCACCAACAAACACCCTCAGTTAGATTATTTCGTCCTGTTCTTCCTGACACATTTATTTCGTCCTGTTCTTCATTGTAACTTGCAATGAAGAACAGGACGAAATAAATGTCAAATGTCAGTTAGTCTCCGCCAGACGATGACTGTACAGGATACGAGTCTCATAAAATGATGAAATCAGTTTGCGTCTCACACAAACATATCTCACTATCTTCAGGGTTTGAAAGCCATCTTGAAATCGAAATGTAACCTACCTCTTCGTGTCTGGATGGCCTACTTTCCAGCGCTGCCAGTGAACCAAATCTTCTTGTTTGCCCTCCATGCAAAGACCTACGGTTCGTATCTGTATGTGTAGGCCTCCCGGATTCCTCTCCTTCGTCAGAAGATGTGGAATTCGAAGCATGTCCTCGGTGTCCTCTTTCATCTAGCTCAAGAACTTCGTCCTCAGCTGTATCTATGACACGAACGTCAGAACCGTCGTCCCCATCCTCTTCAACCTGACCCTCCTCTTCCATCTCCCCTTCTTCCAGCTCAACCCCTATTACAACACCATGATTGTCGATTCCTTCCGCTATCTCTCCCTCCTCCTCTTCCTCGTCAACTGATACCGTTTCCTCTTCTCTTAGTGATCCTCCGCCTATCACAGAAACCATGGAGACAGGCTCTGGTTCTTCAACCTTCCTCTTCTTTGATATCTTCGTTGCCTTCGAGGCTTCAGGAGAGACTGTACTAGTTTCACCATCCGCCTTTCTTTTGGATGATTTCTGCAATGCCTTAGCTTTGGCAGCCTTCGCAAGTAGTCTTTCCTCCTCCTCTCTTGTACCGATGGCCCCAACGATGCCAGCTTTCATAGCTTGTTTGGAAGTGGCAGCAATTGCTGCATTGACCTCCTGTGAGCCCACACGAAGCCATTTTGCCACAGTCGAGTGCTTCACCAATTCTCCCGGCCAGTCCTCTTCTTCGTCCATTTGATCAAAAAGCTCAACTTCTTCGTCTGTTCGAGCAATCATACGATTTACTTCCTGCAGAGTTGGAACATCATGCACTGTTTCCTGGTATCTTTCTTCATCATGAAGGAGAGCTTCAAGTGTCAATCTCCGCTCCTCTTGACTTGTCCTTTGGTCGAAACGCCCAGCATTGATAACTTCATCAGCCATGTCGATCTTGTGTTGCTGGATATTGTTCCGTACCAGACTCTCCACCGATCCCATGTAACGATCTTTGCCAGCCATTTCATCATCACTGTCCACACTACCACCACTTCTAATCTCATCTTCTTTCTGGTAGCTTGATAGAGTTTCTACTACAGCTTCCATGTAAATTACCCTTACCTCTCGCTTTTGTCCTATGCGATGTGCTCTTGCTACAGCCTGCTCTTCGTTCTTCGGATTGGGATCCGGATCGTAGATGACGACGGTGTCGGCAGACTGCAGATTGAGACCTCTTCCCGCAGCTCGGATACTGAGCAGAAATATGAAAATTTCTGAGCCAGGTCTGTTGAACTCTACTATGGCGGCTTCTCGCGCATCCAGAGTAGTAGTTCCGTCGATTCGCCGATACGCCAACCTACGCCAGTTCAGGTACTCTTCCAAAATGTCCAGCAGCCTTGTCATGGTGCTAAACAGAAGAACACGATGACCAGTTCTGTGCAACTTCACGAGTATTCTGTCCAGTATCCATAACTTGCCGCACAACCGTATTACGTCGTCATTCAGCATATGACCTCGAGGAGGATAATTTAAGTAAGGGTGATTGCAAACTTTCCGCAGCTCCATACACTTGTTCTGCAAAGGAGCATATGCCCGGGCCTGACGTTTGTTGTTATTTCCTGCCACCCTCAACTCTTCATCTAATGGATCAAGTCGTATAGTGCCAGTTGCTTTTACCCAGTCATATATGGCCGCTTGGTAGCCAGACATCTTGCATTTTAGAGTGACAGAGACCTGATGAGCACGAAATTAAAGAGTCCATGAGATTGTGCCGTACAGTTTGCTTGCATAAAACAGCCTGTCAGATTCACATGAAACAGGCGATTTCATTTCCTGGAAGTAGAATGATACAACGTGCCTCAAACAAGAATTAAATTGCACCCCTGCGAATCATCTTAGACGATGTAAAACTGCTATCACAAAAGTCCAGCTTCAACATATCCTTAACATTACCTTTTGGGGCAGCGATCCTTCAACGTCTTCCACCCTTCGACGAAGCATGAATGGCTCTAATATTTGATGCAACCTGTGAATAACAATCACTTTCTTCTCTGTTTCTAACCAATCATCCTCATCACTCTGACCAGTAGGTGCATCTCTCTGAAATGGTTTGGCAAACCAGTCATTGAATGCTTTACTACTGTCAAACACTTCGGGTAGCAGCAGATTTAACAATGACCAGAGCTCGTTCAAATCGTTCTGCAGAATGAGTCCACGGGCAGAACAGACCAGCCAATCAGTAGCTTGCCCAACTCAATTGATATCTCACAGTAAAGAAGTGAAGAAAAGTTGAATAAAATTTTAAAACAGCCCAGCAATAACAAGACTCACAAGAAACGAACACAAATTACAATAGATGATAGACGTTCTCATCTGGATTTGACAAACCACTTGAATCTGAAAACTCTTTAGATAGGTGTGAGCTCAAATAAAAAGCTTCCTGTAAGAGTATTCTAAGCAAACTTCTAAATAGTAGACTACTCTAGTTCTCTGCAGACTAGAGCTAGCTGGCAATATTATAGAAGAGGGATGGTGGGAGCTATGTGTGACATTAGAGTTTAATCTTTGGAACTACTTATGTTCCTGAGAACATACCCTCAAGAAACTGAACTACGACTTTCTTGAATTGATTTTCTGATGTATGTACTTTCCCGAGTATACTACTCGAGAATAGGCACTGAAATATGAAAAACTTCATCATTCGAAAAAATCTTATCAATGAGTATCACCTAAAGCTGGTGAGACTGGATCCTCAAGGATAATATTGCTAGTAAAAAAGAAGTCCATCTCTTTAAATGGCAGTTTTCATCCCCAATGTAGGGATACATGTGAACACGGGCATGTGCCGTTGTAGCCGCGAGCGGTTGGACATTGCAGTTGATAGCAACATAGAACACACTCCCTCTTTTCTTATGTAGGGCCGCTGCCGCTCAAGAAAGTCTATGAAATCCTCATAAGACAAAAGTGGCTTTCAAAAGAAATCGGATAACACAATTAACCATACTTTCTGCAAAACGTCAAGATAACTAACCTGCAAAGGTGTTCCTGTCAAAAGGAGACGACGCGCACATCGAAAACGATCCAAATCTCTAGCGAGGCGAGATTCTCTGTCCTTCATGCGCTGAGCCTCATCAATTATCATGTACTTCCAATCCACCTTGGAAAGCTTTGCACGATCGCGCATAATAAACTCGTAAGTTGTAACCAAAATGTTGAACTTCATAGCAGTAACCTCCTGCAAAAATTTGTACACAAGTTTAACCAAAATGTTCAACTTCCTAGCAGTAACCTCCTGACAAAATTTGTACACAAGTTAAACGCGCTATCTTCTATTCTTCCTGTTCAAGATCAACGAAACCAATATTTGGATCATCAACAAATTAATGTCGTGATTTAACACCAGTAACAGCAACCGTGATCCACATTAAGACATTCTCTTGTCTTCACTCCACTATAAGACCAAAGTCTACAATGAAGTATACGTTATGCGTATGACTGAAAAATTGAGCTTAACAAATTACTCGAATAACACACTGATTGAAAAGCAGAATATCAAACATATAAATACGCGCCGTAAATCTTGTCACAGCGCATTGACGTGTGGAAACAACGTAGAGGGAGGGAGCGAACAGCGGAGAACGGTGGCATGTGACTAGTAACTAGTAAAGAAGTGATACGAAAGTGCGGATAAAACATAAAAGAGCAGAAAATCCTCTTCAAATGATCTTTAAAAAATAAGAAAAAGTTTGATGCATAAAGCGTTCTATGAAATTCAAAAAATCTCTACTTGAGTTAGAACAAAGTCCTCTTACCGTTGTGAAAATTTTTGTACGTTGGTCTTTCCCACCCACATAAAATATACATGATACCGAAGGCAGCCAACGTAGGAGCTCACTCTACACGGACAAACACCAACAAAGTAAGACCAAGTCTTTCGCTACAAAGTAAGACTAGACCTCTTCATGTCTTCCTCCTATATCTCGCGAGACAAAATAAAAAACACATCGAAAAGGCCAAGCCACTAAGATACATTAATAGGTCATACTGGACTCAAAGGATGGCAATGATCATGGTACTTGCCTTCCAGTTAACGATGACAGCATTTGGTACAATGATCAGATGGGGTCCATAATTCCCCTTGAATTCCATTAGATATGCGATGAGAGCCATGACCTGTCGACGAGATCAAGACGTGATAAGCGTAGGCAGTCAATACATATGACCAGCTGAAAGAACGAGTGCCGATGACAAGTTCAAGAAGCTAAAGACAAACGACTGTCGATATGACGCAATATCGCATCGGGAAGAGAATGCCTATGAGGAAGCTTACCTGTACGGTCTTACCCAAACCCATCTCATCTGCCAAAATTCCGTTCAACCTGTTATTGTACAGTGATAGCATCCATTGCAGACCCACCTGATCGACAAAACATATTATGAGCAAACATTTAAAAATCGAGAGTTCACAAATGCTAAGGATAGGGCATCAATTCAGTAAATGGGTTGAATTACGCACAAGCTGGTAATCCCGCAATGTTCCTGCGCGAAGCATGGAAGGTTGCCGCAGTATCTGCTCGTTCACTGCATGAGCTAGACTGTAGTACCTGTGAGAAACACATCAAAATGATTTTCAATACAGATAGAATACTCTATGATCAGCTGCGAGGGCTCAACATGCAAGCTGCCTAAAAGGATCTCGGACTTAGGAAACACAAAACGGGTGCCAATAAGGTGTTAACCTTCAACGTAAAGACCAAAAGCCTACGGAATAAGGTCATGGGCTTAACGCTGAAGTCAGACTTCGAGGCAGGTGATCGATCCATCACAGGTTGCAATAAGTGATGGATTCGACCAACATCAATTTACATCAAGTTGGAAATGCTTGTGATGTATTAAGATATAAAGTCAGCAGTAAGCAGACCTCTCGACTGTTTATAACTCTTTCTACTGTTTTGAATCCCAGGTGAGCAAAAGGAAAAAATCGGAAGTCTCCTAACCCTGAACGTACTCTTACTAAACAAAACACCGAAGGACAATGCACATTGGCACACAGAGAATAAAGCTCACCTATTCACAGATGAACCCTTCATAGACTCATCGTCTGAGGCCCAATCTTTCCTTGAAACCTCTTCGCCTGCTCGAGCTGCAGCCTCTTCGACTTCTTCTTCAGAGAGGCCCTAGGAAAGGAAACAGCTCGATTACGTCAGAAGATTATTACCACTACAAGAGCATGATTCAGTCGCTGTACGGAAAAAGGAATGCGGCAACTTTAAAACATAAGATGATACAAGTCCCTCAGCAGGTGATCGGGTAAGTGTCTTATTTTACGCACTGAGAAAATTAAAGTGTAACAAGGTATTTAACTGCAAAAATGAGCATCTCAAGTCCCTACGAAAACCAAGGGAATGGCACAAAGCGAATGAATTTAAAGGCAGTAAGCGAGACCCAGAAACGGCTCCTAAGATTTCTTTACTGAATCCCCTCAGGAATCCGGTAGTAGGCGAACAGATTCTAACCACACCACGGGCATTCACTCGACAGTCGAACCTCTCGAATACACCCCAAAGAACAAGGGATATACAAGGGATAAAGCGTTATGAAGGAAATGTCATTTTCAATCAGATCACACAGACATCTTAAGATGACAAAGAAAACCTTTGCGCATGAAGTAAAATCACTCGACGTTTGGTAGCATAGTACTAGATACACCGAGAACTGTTGCATCTTTGCCTTAAAATAAATGAATCTGGATGCCTCCAAGCTTATCTGAGGATTTCCAACCTGGGCTCTTGCAGCTGCTGCGGCAAACAAGGCGGCTTCCTCTCGCTCTTGCTGGTTCTTTACTGCAGAAATCTTCCCTCCCAGCTTTTGAAGATACTCCTCAGTTTGGGTCAGAAAAGATGATAGCACTTCAAATCTCTCTCCAGCATCTCCTGGCATCTGCGTTTGTTGCTGCATGAGCATCTCTCTGTAGGCATCCACATCATTGTTCTTCAACGCTTCCATCCTTTTCGTTCTATCCTCGTCCTTCCTCTTAGAAAATTCTCTCAGCATTCTCTCATGATACTTGGCAACCCCGCGATTACGCGAGATCCTCGCATCCCGAGTACCCCACTGCGCTTCTAACAACTTCTTTCGCCATTGAAACAGTGACTTCAACTGCTTCTCTCTGACGTTCTTCTGTAGCAGCATAACCTGTCTTGTCAAGTCTAACCGCTGCCGCTCACACAAACGGACAAACTTACGATACGCCCTCTCTCCCATAGCCATGATCTCCTGTTGCTGCTCCTCTACCTCATCCCTAATTCTAGACTGCAACTCCATGAGCCGCAGTTTACGCTGCTCAATGCGCAACTTCAGCACTTGATCTGGGCGCAACTCTTTGCAGTCATTTCCAGCGGCAAGCAAATCCTCGATGCGTTTCAGCTTGTCACTCCGCTTTCTATCCACTACCCTTACACCCTCCTCTAAGAGTAATACTCGCACATCGTACTCAAACCCTCTAGGCTCGCCCCAAGGAGCTGCGTGAATATTGGACCCTCCATCAAACTTTCTTGCAACTGATGGAAAGTCGAAGAGGGGACCTCGGTGCCGCTTCACACCTACAGTGACCTTCTCTGCAGCAGGACCAATCTGAGCAGAAATCGAGGCACTAGTCTTCACATTCCCGGAGCTTACCGTAGGTTGGGCGCTTTTAGCATTAATGGGAACGTTTTTCACTCCAACGGATTCTGCTTTCAGAACTGCTTCCGCCTTCCCAGTAGGTTCAGTTTTGACTACTGCCGAGCCCTGTTTATCTTGTTTGCTGCCGGGAACACCAACTGAGACCGACTTGACATCCCCAGGAGACTGACTAGAAGCCTTTTTAATCTCCCGACTAGATGAGGCCTCCCCTTCTTTAACCACTGAAGACGACTTTCCAGGGGTTACTGCAACCGGCAAGTTTTCATCTTTCTGAGGTCCAACATGTGACTTTCCTAATTGCGTGGTAGCTGAAGGAACAAGAGGAGCAGTACCAACTCGATCAGTTGCCGTAGGTGGATTGACAACGGTACGAGATTGATGTCCGGAAGCAGCAGGGGAGTTGAGTGGATGTGGAGAAATTGCCCGAAGTAGCTCTTCCGAAAGGCGCTCGTTTTTCTGCATGAGAACCGCAGGCAAGAACAAAAGGGTTGATCTTCTCAGAATATACAAAGTCTAGGCTTAAACTACAACAATATCCAGCAGTCATGTTACCAGGATGTTACCACCATTCCTTCTGCTCTGAATAGGAGCAATCACATGTCGATAATTCCACAGCTGTAGACACAACTAAGCTCATCTTGATAAATTCCTCTTCTTTTTCAAATCATGTGCCGTTCTCTACGGGTAACAACCTTCACTTTTTATTTTATTGCCATAAAGATTTTAGCTTACAGTGCTAGGAAGGATGCTGAGTGTTTCTGAGTGCCCCATGCTCGTACTTCGATGAACCTTTGATTCAAATGCTCCTACATAGTTGACGGGGACAAACAATGCAAACGAGTGCAAGGCAGCCAAATACCTTAATCCGTCGGAAGGCTAGAATTTGCGATCTCAGCACATACAATTGATGTCGAGTAAAACCCATGCTCTCCTGCTGCTGATAATGCTGAGTAGATGATTGCTGCTGACTAGAAGACTTTTGCTTCGTGGGCTGGAGCTGAACTTGCTGTTGATGCTGCTGGACTTGTTTGAGTGGCACCTGCTGTTGGTGATGTTGCTGCTTTTGTTGCTGCTGATTTTGTAACAATTGTTGCTGCTGATTTTGTAACAATTGCTGCTGCTGTTGCTGCTGGAGTAATTGCTGCTGTTGCTGCTGTTGCTGAAATTGCTGTTGTTGTTGTTGTTGTTGTAAGTGCTTTTGTTGCTGATGCTGTTGTTGCTGCGCTATCAGCTGTTGCTGCTGATGCTGTTGAAGCAGATGCTGTTGTTGCTGAAGCTGCTGATGGTGCTGCTGAGCTGCTTGCTGAGTTGAGCTGACAAGCAATCCTTCCGATTTACTGCCTTGAATGTTCTGGCGTGTGACCTGCTGCTGTAGCATCTGATGCTGCTGCAGCAACTGCTGCTGGTGTTGCATTTGTTGTTGTTGTTGCCTCATCTGCTGATGTTGGGCTTGTTGCATGCTACTGGGACCGGATTGACTGCTATTCCTCTGCAACGCATCCCCCTTCGGCGACACTTTTGCAACAGTGGATATAGCAGAAGTCATTAGCGGCCTGCTCGAACTGCTGGATGCCCTATCTATGGCCACGTCCATCATCGAGGAACCAATTGGCTGAAAACTCCCAAAACTAGCTCCTGGTGTTTGCGTAGTACCAAACGATGTTGACGTCCCGCTTATACCAAAAGTCGTCGGCGGATGGTCACCAAGAGGTTTAGACCCTGTCGATGGAGAGCTCCCAAAAGATGATGAAGTCCCGCTCACACCAAATAAAGGACCAGTCGGGTAGTCTCCATAACTTTTAGAGGCAGCTGAAGGAGTGCTACCAAAAGAGGCAGACGTCCCGCTAACACCATATATCGTCCCCTGTGAATAGTCTCCAAATGATGAGGCACCGGTAGCTACGGGTGTGTTCCGTTCTTGCAGGATAGCCGAGGGAATCATCTGGGCAGCAAGCTGAGAGAGCTGGGACAATTGCTGAGGGGGATAAACATTTGTTACCGATTTTTGAATGACTGCCAAATGAGCCTGTAGCTGAGAAACAGCCGCTTGTGACAAATTCTCCACGATTCGAGACTGCGCTTGGGGAGTTTGGACCATTGTAGTCTGTAACCCTTGAGAAGATGCTCCCCCACTTCCATACTGGGTACTCAAACTACCCTGCGACCGTTGTGAGGTTTTCCCGTGTGATGACGAAGGCCTTGACAAGTTGGATTGCAGAAGAGGCTGCGGCGGGGTCCCGTCAGGCCTAGGCTCCTGGTTGGCACGCATTCGTTGTCCACCCAAATGTACACCCTGAAGTGAAACCTGACTTTGATTGACTGGTTGGAGTTGCAAAGACTCTTGGGTGTTCAAATTACTGCCGACCTGGGAGTCCTGATGTCCTCCTAAGGAAAAAGATTGCTGCTTTCCTTGCTGACTGTGGACGGGAGTTTGAGCTTTGCGTTGAGTAGCATGCGCAACATGCTGCAGAAACGCTTGATTTGGCAACTGACTCTGTGCCTGGCTGTGCTCAATGGGAACCTGGTTGGTCGCTTGGGCCTCAGTCGATGGCTGTAACGACCCAGGTTGTTGAGCTGGGGCTACATCCAGGAACCCCCTGGGTGGGAGCGGCAGTGACAGAGGGCCTCCCGGCCCAATGCCACTGCCACTACCACTACCACCAATATTTTGAAAATTACTTGACAGAGCCTGTGATTGAAGTAGAGCAACCAATTGCTTATACTGTGGCGACTCGGTATCTATAGGTTGGCCACTGTCGTTCAGATTTTGAAACTGTGCTAGCGCCTGAGATGTACAACAGAGCGACCATGCAAACAATTAAGGTTGTTAGACGGCAAGTTATAGCAGGATGAATTGAAGGGAACATCCAGCACAAACCCGGTAAAAAAAACATCAACAAAAACACAAAAAAGCCTTCTCCAAATACTTCCAGAGAGCCATAAACAATGCTTTAGCCACACAACTCGTCAAGGCCACGGCGGCAAAACCATACAACTGATCAGACTATCCTCCAAGAGAATTGCTGAAATGAATTTCAAACAAGCACCGACGCGTGACGCTGTCGAGGCCTACCGAATTGTAACACCAACGGAAGTGACTATCTGTAATTCAGGATCCCAAATTCAGTTTGCCCAATATGGAGCGCAAGGCGTCAAAACTGAAGTCATGACTTGAGTAGTCAGTGTGTAGAGAATGAACTCAGCTTCCGCTAAACTGAAAGCGCGGCAGAGAAGGCGTACTCCTCTTCTCAACTATCGTTATGACTACTACGCGCGATTCTAAAACAACGCGAAAAGTGTCATGGCCGAACGCCGAGTCATTTAACAAGCAGTTACCCGACCATATCTCCAAGCTGATGACACAAAAATAATGGCGCAAGAAACGATACAGGTTCCAGGATATCCACCAAAACGCTGCCAATAAGCGATTGCAGGTGATACTGAGGCAGTTCAAGGAAAACGCCTTCAAAATTGTAATCGGCTTCTGACTGCGCACAGCGGTAGTCAACGCGAAAAGCATCCTTATCCATATTTTGAGCCCAATAAAATGGAAAGAGCCAATGGAGACATAAGAGGGAGTTGAGGCTGTGAGTACAAGAAAATGCACACCTGACTTGAGGTGAACCAGACGATAGAGGGGACGGGACGTGACAACTTTCTTTCCTATGGGGCCACCCAAGAAATGTAGTAAACAATTCCCAGCTGTGATGAGCAGGTAATTTGAACTTTTCAGAATAATCGGGAAAGTCCCGGGGAGTAGTGCAAAATTGATTTCCAGATAAGAGCTACTAGCAAGATATGATCGACAGCGCTCGAAGAAAGACATCGTCTTCTTGGACAGCTTCATTTGCGCTCCGCACGGATACCAAGGCCGAGCAGGGTACGATTGCTAACCATTAGGAACCCTAGTGGAGTTTTTTCACGAACCCAACAAGCATCCCACAGCCGAGCTTGCTGTGAGATTTCCAAGCTGGAGTATCCAAACAGAAAAGAAGCAAAACAAGGTAAGATGCAATCCTCTCACAGTCATGACCAAAGGAAAAAAAACAAGGAGCGGAGGCACAGCAGGATTACGCAATCAGAATCGAGCAAATATCACGAGAAGAAGCAACGATCAAGTCAGTATGCGAGTGAGAAGAGGTGGAAATTAGAGAGATAATAAAGGAATCGGGGGCATACCGGCGCAAGAGATCAAAACCAGGAGCCCTAACGCCCCCAAACCACATCTAATCAATCCCATATTCCTCAAAATGCACACATGGGAACCCTAGACAACACCTGTCTGCAACAATCCGTTAGGTAAAAAGCCTTCAGAACACCATAGTGCTGTATAATGCCTCGGTCTGTACCAGCAGCAACATCACTTCAGACTGAATATGAACCTACTCAACCGGTATCGGTGTGCTAGAGTACCTGATGTAAATGGATCACTTGGGTCGGGGGCCATGAAGAGACGGCTGTGAGAGTCGGGTTCGGAACGGATACAGATGGTGCGACTTGGGGGGAGGGGGCCCGGGTGCTGGCGGGCACCTGCGGCGGGGGATGCTGGCCCTGCATGCACGACGCCGCCCGCACGCTCGCTGCGTGCTTTAAGGACCCTAGATAAATAATCCCCTCTGCATCATCCTTCCTCTCATCGTCTTCGGCAGCTCTCCTCCCTCCTCTTCCCTCGGCCCGCCCTGTAACGCATATAAATCCAAATCTTTCTCTCCTCGCCTCGGCTTCTTTTCTGTTTTTTTCCCCTCCCCATTCACTCTCCTCGTCACCCTTCCCCAGTCTGTACTGCTAGAACGCGACCTTTCCCTCGCTTCCCGTCCTGCTCCGCTCGCGGCTCGCCTCTCTCTCTGGCTTTTTTTGCCCTCCCCCTCCTCTCTCTCCGCGCGGCCTGCCACCCGACTCCTAATCTGACCAGAAGAACCAGGAGCGGCAGAATTTGTAAAGATCCTCCCTCCTGTCAAAGGCTCTCATCTTCACATAACACTATTGCAGCAGACACTCCACTCTCCCTCAGCCGCCCTGCCCTGTGCTGGGCTCAATACTTCGCCTCCTCCTGCTGGACTCACTCCCTCCCTCCCTCGCCTCGATGCTGCAGGAGGACCACCAGTCCAGTTTCACTAGCTTCTCATCTGCTTCCACATCCTCCCGGCCTCCCTCCCTCCCTCCCTCCCTCCGCCATGCCATCCATTGCCTCCCATCACATCACATCTCATCTCGCCACATTCCATGCCCCTCATCCACGTCATCGTGAACTCCCGTCCGTCAGAACTTTCTTCTGCGGTACGCTTCCCACTACAACCCTAACAGAGCTGACCATGTGCCGGTTTACCGCTTCTCGTCCTCGGCGGTACACGTATTCTACGCCTACCGTCGTACTCGGTTTGACCCGCTTTCTCTTCCTCCTTTTGAATCTTACCTACTGTCCAAACCCTGCATTCATTCTTGCCGGCAACGAGTTTCGCAACCTTTCGAAGCTGTTCCCGGTAAAGCACGCCAACGTCCTCGGTACAAGTCATGCTCCCACTTTCGAAAAGTTCCTGTCCATCTTACGAGAAAAATACTCCGCCTTTCTCTGGCCTACAGTCCCACAGTGACGTACTGTACTGAAATCTACACTAGTCAGGTGGTGTCGGTGACTGGAGCCCTTGGATTCGCCAAAATTACACGATATCGCTACCTACTCGAGCAAGCTACTGCCATGGGACTCACTCCCTCCTTACCTTGTCCTGCAATCAAAAATCTGTCTTCTTTGTGTAGCTTTCCCACTTTACCCTTCTACTCCTTTGATTTCATTGTGTCACATTCCCGCCTGCTGCTACCCAGCGCTCATGTTTGCCCACAACACCTTCCCTCTTCTATAAACACTATCACAATTTAGGCTCACAAGTATTAGGGTACACAAAAATACGTTGAATTGTCGAGAGACATATGGAGATCATGCACGTGGAAACAAATGATAGGAAAAATAACTGTTGTGAAATGTACGCTGCTTTACGGTGACCACGTTTGAACGCCTAGAGCTACCAACGGTTTCTTTACTTCCGTGCGACTTGTTCAAAACTTGAACCGTTGACTCGTGCCGAACTTCTGAATAGATTGTTCGGTAACCTTGTTGTGCTATCAAAATATGTTCTAATGCTTCTCTGCTCAAGCTAATATCTAAAAACAACTGTGTAGTCATATTGTATGTCACCATTTAGTATTTAGCACCGCCGTGTATCAATAACCTCCACAAATTGCAACCCCTGCTCAATTTGCTTTCAAATTCATCTAAGGTGTTGGTGTAACAAAAACACTCGACGTAAATTTTATTATCACTACAGTATATGCAATGATACAACTCTTGGTATGTAAACTTTTGCCAACTTCGGAGGCGTTGCCAACATATTTATAAAATTTGAAAGCGATTTTGACTTTTTCCAACTTCAGAAACGGTGCCAACTTTCATACTTTATAATTTTCTAATAGCTTACTAGCAGAATAATTAAACAGCATTCTCGATATGTGTTGTATTTGTTCTTCCAATATCAATACTATACCTTGCTTTCTTGCTCAACTTTCCGTTTGGGAGCTTCGAGTGATTTTTTGAATCCTGTGTGAGCAGATATGCTCACTGCTCGACTAACGGCTAGCCAGTTTATCTGCATATTAATTTCATTGAAAAGTCGTTTTCATGACCGCAGATTCAACGTAGTCCCGAAGGAATTGTCACACAAACGGAAGCACTCTGCGTTTTTAATAGCACCACTATCCAAAAACACATATTCGTACTACAACAAAGTTCTCATGCACATAAACGTGTCGGGTGCAACGAACAAAAATAGCAAAAAACATTTGAGGTTAATTCCTACCACCACACGACTGCATCGTTTCAGAATTCGTTGCATATCTTGTTGAACAGCAAAAAATCCATGATCTTTTTTGAGACGTCATCTTCTCTAGTGTTCGATTCAAGCATTTGATCTCGTGTTTTGTGAATAGCAATGATCGTTTCAGGTGCTATTTTAAACGCGAAAGAGTCAACATGTTTATGTGTGCAATCGATACCATTTAGTCTTGCATAAGAATTTTTCGGAGCAGTTTTGTGAGAGAATCTATTTCTTCATCAGTTTTTAAAACCGCAGGATTGAATTCTAGAATCAACATTGGTAGCGGGCAGGTCAAATGCTCTTAATACTTCTTCATCTTTGCCATCATTTTTTTTTTGCGGCATCCTTTCACAAAGGTTTTATAAAACTTATACTCAGCTGTCATTAATTTTATTTTTTCAATACATCTTGAACGATTCATAAAACAAATATTGATTTGACAACGTTGTATATCGTGTAATAGATATGATCGTCATATTGTAAGGAGGTGGAAGAAGGTTTTTGTACTACTTCATTGCCTTTCTTTCAATCCAACTCAAAGTTACAATCTTACCGTACCGTATTGTACTATAGATATACTAAAGCTTATGAAGAACATATGATAGCTATTTTGAAAAGACAATCATTTGAATCATGCATATGATATTTTAAATAAAAATATTAATTTATTTTCAACATTTCAACACAATTAACTTTGAATGGAACTTATTTAAAATGGGGAAAAATGGGAACAAATTACATTTTTCATATTTAAAATTTGAATTTTAATATTTTTTTAATGTACACAATAATTCTAGAAAATTCAAAATGTTTATTAATGGATTGTCATAAGATAATATAGAAAGATAATTTTTATTAAACCTTCAACTTATGATGTTGCAACTTCATGTTTTTTATTATCCATAAATATATGCATATCTTTTAGGTCCTTCTTTATATAAATATTTGTATTGAGTATCATACAGTTTTTTAAAATTTGAACATACTCTAAAACATGGAGTAGTAAAAAAATCATACATTATTTTGAAATAATATTGATGAATTTCACCAATCTACAATAAATAATATTCTTATGAAATATCATTTAGACCAAATATACGTTTTATTTTATCAGAAAAAATATTACTAAAATATTTTTTATTGAAATCATTCAATTTGTAAATAAGTGATATGTGTGAATTATGTAATTGATTTGTTTATACATCATAAATCATCATTGCAAAAAACTGATTTTGAAAATCAACAAATGTTTTATTTATATTTATTTCTTATGATTGTTATGATTTTGAAATGTAAGAATGAATTCAAATTAAATTTGTTCATTCCTATTTCAATTGTATCCTCCTATCAATTTGTTAAGCTTAGTTGAGAACAAGCAGATAATGGAATGTGTGATTAAAGACGTGAATAGTCAATGTGTTTATTTTCCTTCAGTTATACTGTTATTAATGTATCGATCTAAATGCAATTGTATGTTTATTGTGTTATGCATTTTTTTGAAAAATGTGATTTATCGAGATAGATCTAAATGTTTGATGGTATATTCTAAGTTTAAATGGTAATATTATTTATTTTTATATAATGCATGACATCTATTTCATGACAAATATTTTATTTGGTGAGTAAAAAAGTAATATTCTAGTACAGTAAAATAGTTTCATTATTGAATTTTAAAAAATCTTGAAAATGCTATGTGTATCTAGGTTGAAAAGAAGATTACATAGTAAATGTAAAGAATCAATGAAGACATGTGTAGAATTATTCAATATGGTTGAAGACCTCACATCAATTTCTAAGCTATGAAATCTAATAAGCAGTATATTCTAGATCTAAATGCGATGATGAAAAATTATATGTACAGTATTCTCTTATCTATCTAGGCAACATGAACCTGGAAAATTGTGCATATTTATTCCGTAGGTGCGTAGTTTAATAGAATGTCTTGTGACTCCTTTGGTTCGGTTGTAATGTCGAAAAAACCTAACAAAAAGCGTGTCAATGAAGCGATGCGATATCTTAAAGTAACACGGATGATTCTAGTGAAGGGACTATACAATGTTAGTGAAGAAGCTGTAAGAAAGTTGTGTAACAAGCGTGGGCAAATCCTAGAATAATTTGATTAATGTGTAATGAAACTAAAGAGAAATACTGCGTTGGTTAATTCATCGGATTACATGTGGATTGACGTTGTGCCAATTATAATGTTTCACACTCTCTTCTCATCGCCAAAGGGAAAAAAATAAATTATTGAATCAAGTTTATCAATTTTGGAAATGGACTTCAAGGCATCTTAGCAATGGCTAAATCAATTTGGAGCGTGTGCGGAGGGTTGCAAAACAGTATACTTCACGAAGAAGTAGCTAAAGTCAACAAATCTGATCTGGATTGTTTGAAGCTTTAGACTAACTCTATTGCCTAATATAGTATAAAAACTTCTATGAGAGAACAACTTGTTTTTTTACTACTGCCGAGATACTTTTAATGCCAGGTCTCTCTTTTCTTTATTGTGTGTGCCCAACCAACGAAACCAATTGCACATTGTTCTGCAGATTCAAAGCAAAACTCAAATTTTCGCAAAATGAGAATCCATGACATGTTGAGCTAAATAAATGTGATCGCTATTTTGTGGGTAAATTAATGCTGAATTATTCGGGTGCGTACTTACCCGGGAGGCTAATGTACCAGAAAATGTTACTCTTATTCAGTTCTTAAACCCTAAATTTATAAATGGAATCTAATTGATCGCTGAAATGTCCATCAGCGGAGCATGTCGAGGACCGTGATTGTTGGTGAGTTTCAAATTGGGCAAGTGGAACTTCTGGACGAATTGGCCGCATTTCCTGGCTCATGTAAGTTATCTTGGCTGCATCGGTAGTTGGTCGATGCTCCCAGATAGCATTGACTTATTTGATGCAGGATAGCCTTGCTCTTTCTCCATTCTCGAGTGCACGCGTGTGCTCGGACAAAGCCCATATGTAAAGGAGACTTCACCCTTGCGACTGAGATGCTGCAGTGAGCCTCTCGCTTCCATCTTTCTCTATTTTAAATCTAAGACTGCGTGCATATAAAGATAAGATTGGAGCTCATCTTTGATTGTTAGTCTCGACCTTGTAGACACAAAGAACAACATCCTTATATACGCTTCCATGGTTCTTACTTCTTTGCTTCCCAGCTTTCCTTGGCATGATTTCTTGCTTTTCTGGTCGTTGTCTGTCCAGCATTCCCCTCTTTTATGTACGCTTCGCTGGAAAGTTAATCGATTGGTTGCATACTGCCCTTATGCCGTCAAGGGTCAAGTCGTTGATTCCTGTTATTACTCCTTCTAGTAGCTGTATGTGAATATTTGGTATAATAACCTTCATGCGCTGCAAGATATGCCACCTTCAAATATGGATTGAGGGTCAAGCCTCTGTATCATCTGATCAAAAGGTAGATTGCATTCAGGAGACGATAGCATTGTCAGTGGACTCCTTGATTTCTCATCAGCTTATATGTTCGACGGCGATAATCACAAATTGGATTTGTAGCTACCTTGAACCGCGTTGCATCTCGACCCAATCTCTTATAATTCGAGTTTTTCAATGAGTTCTGGTGTACTCTTACTCTGCAGTTGCACTGTAGGTTGAAGCTCTTCAATAGAAAACCTAACTGGGTTTTTCTGCGTCGCTCGTGCTTCGTTGGTTGCAGTTTGTACTCGTCCTCCCAATCGCAATCTGTATAGGAGTGGTCGAAGGTCTCGTTGGAAGAAGTTGTCGTGGTGAAGAAATATGGATGCTTTGGCGGTACTGAGGGAGTACACTGTTCGCAATGATTTGGAAAATGTGAAGCTTATGGGTGATGAGTACTTTTTTGGAGAGGATTACAGATTTCCGAGGAACGTTGAAACTGCTTACAGGTCAAAGCAGGGTAGCTTATACACTCTCGAGTCTCTGGTTTTTTTCGTGAGGAACAAACATGTGAAGCACACGGAGTATATGCAGCAGGCGCGAGGATTGAAGCTTCAGATTGTCACCTACACGGACAGAAAACCATTGCAAGATTACTTGGAAGGGAAAGTCTCTTCCACGGATTCTATTGAACTCGTGCCCACGTCTACAGGGCTGCCGCCCAGGGAAGACAGGCCGAAGAGACGACCTGAAGAGGAGAATGAAGCTGTCGGGAGCGATGATAACAACGCACCTAGCAAAAGGATGAGGATGGAAGCTGAAGATTATTCCAAAGATGCAGGTATCTTTGTTTCAGACTCATCAGGAAAGAGTCTGATCGAGATTATACGCGATAGGGAGAGACCTGTCAGGGATAGGGAGTCTATACTTATTTGCCACAACAAAAACTTTCAAGGCGTATTAGCTTTGCTGAAAGGTAGAGATGACGAAAGGCGAAGAGCTGACGATCAAGTGAAGAAAGAAGCAGAGAAGCCAGTTGAGCAACCTGGGATGCCTACGTCGAACTCTGCCAGTCGCTATGTGAATGTAGAGGAGAAAAGATTCTGGAAGGATCACTTGGGGACGGATGCTGCTGAGGAGCTCGGTATCGATCCATCTCAGTCTTACGCTGATTCGATTAAGCCTAAGGACAATGCTAGACCAAAGCCAGACACACGAATAGGTCGCCCTCCTAGCCAACACTTGCATCATAGGCCTCCTCTTTCCTCTTCCGGCCATAAGAAACCTGAGGGTCCTCCCATAATTATTGTTCCCAGCGCGTCGCAAACCATGTTGAACACATACAACGCCAAAGAGTTTTTCGAGGATGGAGTGTATGTCGCCCCAGATGTCAAAGCCAAATCTCTCACTAAGAAACCAGAGGATGTAGTGATCTACAGAAAGATGGGACGAGATCACCCCGTCAAATACGAGATTAGGGACAAACCTTCTGTATTTTCGAAGAAAGATTGGGAGCGGGTGGTCGCTATCTTCGTTCTCGGAAAAGAATGGCAGTTCAAGGACTGGCCCTTCAAGGACCACGTTGAGATTTTCAACCAAAGTACGTCAGCTACATGCACCTCGCGTGCAGCGAGTATTTTGTGCTTTTCTTAGTTTTATCCGTTTGCCAATTTTCTGTAGCCATGCCCTTTAAAATTTAACAATTTGAGACGTTCATGTGTTCTAGCTCGCTTTACACTGACGTTAAGCAGTATATATATATAATTTTTTTCTCACCATGTTGCAGCAAAGAGCTACCCATCCGGTTTCTTCATACTGAATCCCTTGGGACTGTTGGTGGTCAGAGTATCTTTCCTAACACTCTGTCGACATGTCGGTGAAATTCGGTACTTGCAGTTTTAGGGATCTTCTTGCGATTCGAGGATGATAGCGTGGAATCAGCACAGAAAGTGAAGCAATGGAATGTTAGAATTTTGTCTGTAAGCTCAGCTACCTGTTACCCAACCTTCATCATCCTATACGCCATGACGTGCTTGCATGTGAAGTTCTCGTGCTCGCCAACGTTACATAGCGACTCCACTTATATAAACTCTGTCCTCTTGATGCCTTCGTCTTGCCTATGTACGGCGTCGATTGGGACTTTTACTGTAACTTCTTGTTCGTTTGCTTGTCTCAGCTAAGCAAGCACAAGCGACACCAAGACAGAACCGCAGCGCTTGCATTTTGGGATAGCTTGGACAAGTCTGTCAAGTCGCGTAAATTGAATGTTATTATTTGAGGACTTCCTCGGGAGAATTCTTCGATACCTCTATTACAGGTTCGAGTCTAGAGCCTTATTCTGTTGCGCTGGTTGTTACCAAGAGTTGGTCAGATTAACCTCATTCTGCAGACACTGAGCAAGAGATAGTGCTGGTCGTTTTTAAATGGTTTCAAGGCGATCCACTGTTTTTATTTTTATATCTCACCTTGTTTTAAGGTCTTCAAGACCAATGGGGGATTGCTGTTATCCGGGATCCTTTTTAACATTTGGTCTTTGCCTCAGGGTTACTTCGACACAATTCTGGCCACCAATTTGTGTACGAAGCCTCTCAGAATTCTGGCCAGCAAAGGTCAGTGTGAACCACTGTCGATAGAGTCCTTTGATACTACGGTTGCACCTCTTTGTTTTACTCTATTGCAACCTGCTAGCTTTCAAGAAGGAGAAGGGGAAGGGGGCGTAACAAGATGATTTTTCTTTTCAACATAGGTATGTACTCATTTTATCTCAATACATTTTCTCATAGTGTCTCTCTCAGTCATTGATTCAAACGCGGTCTTCTGCACCTATGACATGTATTGATGCTCTTATGGGTATGTGCCTGCCAGCTTCCTTTCGTAGCAAAAAGCTTGTGCTTTCTACTCTCTTTGATTTGCCGTCGAACGAATCAGCACGTTGTCGTGCCACGCTTTGTGTACCATTTCCTTGCCATGCCTTGCTCTGCAATGTATGCGTTACGTCTTTTTGAAAGAACCTGTCAGAGCCCTTGCGTTCGTATCTCACGGGTTTGTGTTATTTGGTTCCATTCATGTGGAGCCTTGTAGCTGATAAACTTTGGTTTCTGATTGTTCCTGCTGGTGGTTTTATCTACAGGCTATGTAACGTACATCTTCTAGCTGAAAGTTTTGGTGTGTGTTGGGTCCTGAGCTGTTCAAGTGGATATCAGTCGCGACCCCCAGCGACACATTCTACCCTGGATGATTGATTTACCGGGTGACTTCGACCATTGTGCTGTATCTTCAAGGCCGATGAACTAGGCAAAGATTGCAAGTTCATGTCTTTTTTCATGAACAGTAAAGCCGACATTTTTGCGAAGTTTGTGTTTGTCGTTTCTTGTCTTTATGAATGTCCCGAAAGGGTAGTTTTTTTGTGCTCAGACTGTCAGATCTCTGAATCCGTCAATTTGCGTCGGATTGCTCCTTCGTACTGAATGGTTAGTTGTCTCACCAGTCTGACACGCAGTACTTCGAAAAACCTGGTCTTTTGACCTTGGTAATGTCATCCCATGAATAAAAGTAACGTTAAGTGTGTTGGAAGTATCGGTTGCATGGAGAGCGTATAAAGCTCTGCCGTTGATAAAATCAGTGAATTTCATGACTAGTCACTGGCATGACGGCTCTAATGAATGCCACACTTAATCCGCTGGAGAGCTTAGAAAAATAAGGAAAGGACAAGCAGACTTATAATCCTCTTGCCGGAACTGAAATGCATCTGAGGATTCCAATCCATTTGTTACTGAGAGGTACAGCGATCCTGATGCGAAGGAGTGTCAGATTTAAAGCAGAAAGTCGTTCGTTGTTACTTCTCTTTTGTTTGGACAGTGCAATTTCGGCATTCTCTACGACATGGTTTGCGGTGCAAGAAATCTGCCAAGTAATAGACCACGAAGGGACTAAGGAAGTACAAGAAAAGCTAGTGTGTCCAATGAGGCGTAGATGCGAATTGCAGCATCTGTCTCATGGTCCCTTTTCCAGCAGCCCAAAGCCTCGAGTCATTGCCGCTGACGCAAACATCGAGGTTTCGAAAAGCGAATTTGACTATAATGAATGGCCCGGGTGATTCGAAAGCGAATTTCACGATTAAGATACGAAGTGCGTGAAAATAGGTTTTGAAGGGAACTCTTACTTAGTTGGAGACATTGATTTTGACTAGCGTATGGACGTAGCGTTACAGTACAATTTATCAATATCTAAGCACAGTCTCCGATTTTGTTGTTGTAACAAAAATGCGTTATCGGAATATACCCGAAGAGAAAAAGCGCCGTGTTCCAGTATGAACTTGCTTTGGAGAGGCAAGAGCCATATGCATAAACTGCGTTGACTTCCGTACTGTGTCTGTACAAAACTTACGCACACGAATCTTGACACAGAACTGAAAGACGTACAATCGGCCTTGACGCGAAGAGGTAGTCAACTCATTTTGTCTCTGAAGGGAACACCATCCGAGAAAAGTATCAAAAACGAAGACTATATGGGATAAATGCAAGCTCGAATGATGCACTGATGATTGGAAGACACATCGCACATGATTTACCTTCAGACGGGGAAGGGACGGATTTATCGATCGTTATACACGTCCGAAAGACTTGAGCGTACAAAGACGAAAGTCTCAGAAATCGAACTACAGTAGGATGGATTGCACAGGTTACGACAACCTGTTACTATGATACCGTGCTTCACTTTCTCGTGTAGATTGTGCCTGTTTAGGGTTTAAGCATTAGGGTTGAGGGTTTTCAAGCAGTTTGTTGCATACAAAGAGTAAAGTCCCTGCGGAGACTGCTTTCTTTGGCAGAACAGGGAAGGGGTTTTTGAACTCAGACTAAAGCTCTGTGGCTGAGCCATGGGGAAAATTGCAGGGCAGGGCAAGGCGAGGAGCAAGCCTGTAGAAGAATTAGGAAAAATTGAAGCCATTCAGTCGGATGTTGCTTCGTTCGCCGCGAGCTTAGGATTAGCTGCAGGAGCAGGAGTATCTTCTGGATTTAATGATTCGGATTTCCGTAAAGTAGGATCGATCAGGAAGCCTGAGCAACCAAAGCAGGCAGTTGTAGAGAAGAAGAAGAAAGCGACGGAAACTGGTAAGAGCGCTGCTAGAAAAGACGACAAAGGAATCCGTTCTGGAAAAACTCGTCGTGTGGACGCGGACAGGAAGCAAGGGAGCAAGGAGAATGCTGGAGGCAACAACAGAGGGAAAAGATTGGCGAATGGCCTTGAAGGCAAAGATGCGAATGGTCCCGGTGACAAAAGTCCCGGTGGGTGGAAGGCGAAGGAAAATCACGCGAATCCTAAGAAGCGTAAAGGTAGCTGGGAAGTTGGAGCTGATGGTGAAAGCGAAGTAAAGCGGCCTCTGGTTGAGACACCGTATGGTGAGCCCGAATTTGTGAAGAAGTTGCGATCAGAGGCTCAGGACTTACTGGAGAAGGCCGCTAATGATTTTGAAAAAAACCGATCCAGAGATAAAGATGCGGAGTGGCTCTTGAAAGCCCGGCGATCTGGAACTTCCGCCGATAAAGTGGCTGCCATGACAGTTATCTTGCAAGAAAATCCGAAAGCCAACGTGCGTACATTGGACGCCCTATTAGGTAGCGCCTAAAAATTCGACATCCCCTCTCTTTTCAAGGAAATTTTAAGCCTGTTGTCTTCTTCTCGCACCTAAGTCGAATCCAATACCACTTGATTCTCCTATCAGTTGGAGGCAAAGATTAAGATCACAGCTGGCATGCATCTTCTTTATCGATTGAGACACGAGACTTATCATCTCAATTGTGTCCAATCCTCGTATGTTACAGGGATGATGACCTCCAAAGCAGGAAAACGTCACGCAGCAACTGGAATCGACGCACTGAAGGAATTATTTTTGTACAAGTAGGTCCCTTTCCATATTCGACCCTATTTCGTTCGTTTACATCTGCCTGAATCTGAGTTGTGGTCATGCGGGTGTCAAATCACTCAACTGACGTGGTCAATGTTGATGCCAGTCTTCTTCCTGACCGCAAACTGAAGTACTTTGCTCAACAGCCTCTTGCAACCCTTCCTGAGGGCAAAGAGCGTTCTTCATTGCTGCTGGATTGGATTTGGGAAGACTGCTTAAAGCACAGGTGAGAACTTTCGTCACAATGGATTTTGATAAAAAATTCTCCAAGTCATTTGTTTTCCTTTTCTCAAGATATTGCCTGCTAATTCTCTCTCGAATTTATCTTTTTGTAACACATCTTGAGCTGGAAACTTAGTGAAAATACTCGATGGAGAAGCTGTTTCCACATTCGTATGTTGCATTTGCTTAACAGGTTTGAGCGATTTGTGATTTCTCTTGACGAGGCTTCGAAAGACAAATTACCTTTCTTGAAGGAGAAAGCCCTCAAGGTGTTCAATCATCAACTTGCTATTCTCTCCTGTTTTTCCAATGATTTTCTCACGCACTGTAGTCTGATTGTATATGAAAAATGTATGTCGACTCTAAAACATCTCAATCCTCTCTACTGCATACGTCAAATCTGTTTTCTATTTGGTGCAGTCAGTTTACGAACTTCTGAAGACAAAGCCAGAACAAGAAAGGCGGCTTTTGTCCACTCTAGTGAACAAGGTATGTATTTTATCTGGTAAAAGTCTTGCACATTCACTATCAGTAATGGATTTTCGCTTTCTACTTTTCCGTATGTTACTGTTTGAATACGAGCAATGCGTTGATTACTGATATCACTAATACTTGGTATCAATAGCTAGGAGATCCGGAGCGTAAAGTGGCATCGAATGCTTGCTACCTTCTATCCAGTCTACTGACAGCTCATCCGAACATGAAGGTATTAGTTCAGCGTGAGACGCCAGAACTTTTTTTTCACAAAATACTTACCATGTCGTAGAGTTTGATGAACTAATAATTTGGTTCTTGTGCGTTTTTCCTAATTCAGTCGTAAGTTCACTTATGGGTCTCACGGACCATGTTTTGAACAATCGATTATGGTCTTAGCTGAGGAGTCTGTGGAGGAGAATCATTGTTGTGTGGCCGCGTGGAGATATTGCAAGTAGGTTGACAAGCAGTGTGAGCACGACTCTGTATAGAATATCTGTGTCAAGGGCTTCAAGCTCAAGGAACAATACCTTGTATACCCCTTCTTTACGACGACTTTGTATGCTTGTGAACAGAAAATTGTTGTTGATGAAGTCGACGGGTTTGTGTTCCGACCCCACGTCGGTCTCAGAGCGAGGTATTACGCGGTACGCAACGACCATTTTTCGTACGCAGCTTGTACAGTTGTCCTCTCTAAGCACTGGGAGACTGATATATGGTTGCGTTCTCATTTTACTTGTCCAATTTTGTATCGTCTAAGCCTGTCCAACGAAATATGTTTAAAATAACTGTGGTAGAAGGGAGACCACTTGCATCATAATCTCAGAATAGTATCTCGTTGGATGCAGACAGTCTTTTTGAACCAAATAGTTCTCAGTGTCAAAGGTGATGGTCCTAAGCTGGCAAAGCAGCTCATTGATCTCTATTTTGCCCTTTTCAAGGTAAGCCAATCCACCATGTGTTTCCGCCTTATCAAGGCTCCCGTATCACTCTGTTGGATGTTGGTATGGATGGGAGGTACCAGGTTGCAAACTCGTGTCAATTTAATCGTCGGTTTAATTCCCTGCATGGGTCCTCAGTTAGCACCGTATTCATTCGGTTTCTAGGTATCTTGCCTCTGTCTTTATCATCACACGGAGTCAAATGAGTATGTCCTATGCAGGCTGTGACAACTGGTGAGCAAGATCTCAATAAGGAGGAGAACGGAAAGAAGGGAACGAAGGGGGAGAAGGAGAGAGTTCGGAGAGGCAAGCGAAAGGAAAGAAATAACGACAAGTCACTAGCTGCTGACTTTACAACGGAGATTGATTCAAGGCTGCTGTCTGCCCTTCTGACTGTATGTGAATACTCTTCTAACCCACATCTCTGTATTGTAATCCATTGTCTTGTGTGAGGGTTCAAGATTGACATTTGAAAATCCTGAATGCGTTTGCGGCCAATTTTACCTGGCATTCTTGTATCTTTAAAGCTCCGACTGGAAAGTGAGCTTGAATAAATATTTCAAACTCATGATGTGCAGGGTGTCAATCGAGCATTTCCATATATTTCTGCAGAAGATCTGGATACAGTCACACAAGAAAATTCTGTTCTTTTCAGATTGGTAAGTACGTGCTTCGTGCTGACATCAATTGGAACGTAAGCTCTTATTGGGGATTCGTTCCAGATGTGGTGAACGATCTGAGTACAAAGTTGTCCATGATTTTGAAACCGTTCTGGTGAAATAATTAGCAGACAGTAAGAATTAATATGTTATAATCTAGAATTTACAACTTTGTCGACTGCTCGGAACTAAACTTTAATTTCGGATTTTTATTAGGTACATTCGACCAACTTCAATGTAGCAGTGCAAGCATTGATGCTTCTCCATCAGCTGATGGTCAAGAACCAGGCCGTCAATGACCGTTTCTATCGAGCTTTGTATTCCGTCCTTCTGTCTGAAAGCCTTGCGAAGTCATCGAAGGTGCGGTTTTGTCTTGTATTCACATCACTGGGTGCACCTCCCCGTGGTCACGTATGTTGGCCGTGCAGGTGCATGCTTGACAAGTAGCTTCTCGTACTGTTATTGTTCTAATAAGTTTCTTTTAAGATGTCTCTTAGAATAAGTCTCTTCGTCTAGTTTTTCTTCTCAAGCTACTGAAATATACGAGAATTTTTGAACGACTGCGCTGTAACATCTAGTTTGCAATCGTGGCAGGCCGAAATGTTTCTCGGGCTTATCTTTAAGGCTCTAAAATCTGATGTCGATGTTAGGCGCATGTCAGCTATAGCGAAGCGCCTGACTCAGGTAGGAAATTGCTTGGCGGCGAATGACATCGGTATCTTATCGTTATATTTGGTTTTCCTACTGGATCAAGTTTCGAGCGGTAGTGCATTGTTATCAGTAGTTAGATCTGGATGATAAAATGAGAAGTGTCCTTGATAATTCAATCATCATTCGGTCTTCAGGTGGCAATTCAGCAGACACCGGAATTTGCCTGTGCTTCACTCTTCCTCATCTCAGAGATTCTCAAACTGAAACCCACTCTTTGGTAGGTTGGTCGATTTCTTATTCTTATTGCATGTTCGTAATCAGATCAGCTTGCACATGGCAGTAAACAGCACAATAAGTATGAATTGTGCTTTCGAGTTTCGAGCATATAAAATAGTATTTTGTCTGCTTACTTCCGTATTGCAACTCAAGGATCTGTCTCTCATGAGCGTAGATCCGGTATCCTCGTAGCGAAAAATTTAGCCTTACACAAGAATGTCGATCCGAGGAGTCATGCTTACTATGCGCCTGAAATGTGAAGGAATTCGGTGTTAAATGCCGAAGATCATGACGACGACCGTGAGCACTTTGAGGATCAGGGAGAAGAAAGTGATGACAATGAAAGAGGCAATACTGAGAAAGCCAATGGCCATAAAGAAGACAGTCAAGACTCAGGAGATACGTGGCCAGAAAAAGGATACTATGATCCTAAAGCTCGTGATCCACTTTACTGGTGAGATTCGGTTCTTCTCATGTTATTTGAGAATATTGTGTTCTTCAAAATGAGTGAGCTTATGTTTGATGTATGTATCATGAAGTAAACTCTGTACACACTGGTAGTGACAACCAGTTTAAGTTGACAGAAACCTAGACAAGATGAAAATATGAGACCCGTTGTTGGATAGACTCGAGGGACATTGTCGAATGCCACCGATGAAGTCATTGTGGTAGTCCATTGAACCATGCCAATTAAGATTGTTATTCTGAAAGAACCTTTAAAGTTAAGTAATGGTTGTTGTTGCTGTCTGTTCCTAGACGAATTTGAGTATCATCATTTTAGTCCGCACTGCGTCCAGAGCCACAAGCAAATATACTTCTATTTGTCAAGCTTTCTTCTCTGCAATTTCCCTTCTATAGATCTTAAACTATTTTAAGATGTCTTCTTCGTATCTATCCTACTCAAAGTTTCTTGGAGTTACATACATGCTGACGTTTTATATGATTGTTATTTGCTCCGTCTCGATCATTTCTTTTAGTCTTTGATTATTTACATCTTGGCTGTATTCAGTTGTTGATAACTTCTACTGACTTGCCCCTTCTACTAGATCTTCAGAGGCCCATGAGGAAAGAGGATTATGAGCTTAAGGCTTCTTACAACATACATACTGTCGCAAATAAAAGGGCTTATAATCCTTTCTGTAATTTTCGTTTTCCTTCAATTGTACAGATTGTTATGTGCTACCTCCCGTCCCATATGTTGGAAAAACGAATTAAGATGCAACTTGAACGTCCAAGATCTTCATTTTCTACAAAACCTGGCGCTGAAGAAAGTTGAGCTGGACTCTAGTCCGACCTTGTAAAATGGCCCCAAGTGGTCTGAACCTCTTGGGGGGGTTTTGGTGTGTTATGTATGCACATTTCTTTCGTTTTTGCATTCATACAGGAATTTTACGTTTGTAAATCACAGCAAAGCATCGTCCCGTTTCCTTATCCTCCTTGTCCATTGATTTCAACCTGTCCATAAGATTATTGGATGGTGGGAGGCTAGTAATCATATGTTTCTAGTCCTGAGTTGGTCTAAATGACAGAGTTAGGCTAAACTGATTTACGTTGTTGGCGGATGGTATCATCTTGGAAGCAATCTTATTCAATTGCCTGTGACTGCGTTGGACACCATTCCTTGGACTATCTTCAGCTTGCAGCTCTGATCTTGACCAGTCTTTGTAATTTCATAGCTTTGTATTTCGTACCTTATCGGTTTCCGTTTCGACATTCACATCATATTTGGTAGAGCGCCTTTCCCTTTCTAAACAATCATGTGATGTGAGTGTGCAGCCAAGCACATAGAGCATGCTGGTGGGAGCTCACCGTTCTTGCAAAGCACGTACATCCGTCAGTGGCAGCAATGGCTCGTACTCTTCTTTCAGGTGGCAACATCATTTATAGTGGAGACCCCTTGCGGGATCTTGCCTTGGGAGTTTTCCTTGACCGGTTTGTTGAGAAGAAACCTAAAGCCACCAAAAGGAAGACAGAAGGAACATGGCACGGCTCGTCTATGGCTTTGCCCGCGAAACTGGTGAGTGATATTCCGATCCTAGTGAGGAGATCACGGGCAGGACTCATATTTACGAGAGCACTGTCGTCACAATCCTCAATCACACGGAGTAGTTTTCATACTATCATCGCTAATTTGTGTAAAATACAGGACGGAGCGAAATCTGCGGGACCAGTAGGTGAGGACATTCTGAAGTTGGCCGAAGAAGATGTAGCGCCTGAGGATGTCGTCTTCCACAAGTTTTATTCGACGAAGTCAATAAGAAGCAAACCTCAGAAGAAGAAGAAGAGCAAGGTAAATTCTGAGGAAGACGTCCTAGGATTGGACGAGGTTGCAGCTTTTGACGGAGACGACAGTGAAAACGAAGAAATCGACGAGTTACTTGAGCAGGAAGCAGGTGAGGAGATGATGGCAGATGATAGTGAAGGTGAAGAAATGGAGAGTGACGACGAAGAGATGTTGTACTACAAGAAAGATGAGGATGATGACCACGATTTAGAATCAGATGTAGAAGAAGGAGATAGTGAAGGGGAAGAAGCAAATGCTCTCCTAGAAGACGGACTAGAGATGAGTAGTAGTGATGGGGAGGAAATTGAAAGCGAAGAAGACGAGATGGGCAGTGAAGAAGAAGATTTCCTGCCTAAGAAGGGTAAGAAACAGAGTGCTGGTAGGCAATCATCTAAAAAACGTGCCTCAGTTTTTCAAGAAGCAGAGGATTCGGACGGTGAAGTGGTTGGTGTCGAAGATGAGGATATGCTGCCTAGGAAGCAAAGACTTCAAACTCCTGCTCGGGGGCCGGCTAAGAAACGTGCATCCCCTTTTCAGGAACAGGAGGATTCTGACTTTGATGTAGCTAGTGAAGCAGATTCCGCACTCAGAAAAAGAAACAAGAAAATAGTCAAGAGACGTCTTTCTGTTTTTCAGGAGGCTGGATCCGACAGTGATGATGCCGGACTAATAAAACTTTCGGGTAGAAATCAACGTAGTATCAACAGAATAGGGAAGAATTCAGGAGCCCAAGCAGTAAGTGCTTCACGTAGCAAGAAAATTCGCAGCAATCGCAAAATGTGATCCTCAAAAGCTTATGAATCCTGTATCTGTTTTTTTGGCTATTAGAATGGTTCTGACTTTCTGGCTTTTTCTTGCCTGTATCTGGTTTTGAATGTTTTAGTTTTGTGCTTCTAGTCTAGAACGTGCTCAATTCCGGTCTTTGGTTTGGTTATGGTTTGCACCTATCTTTAGCTATTTCGCAAAGTTGAAGTTGGGTTTGTGTTTTCAAGATTTCAAATATAGTAGCGTTGAAGTACAGTAGTCGGCTGTAGTAATCCTTTTGTATCCATCGTCCGCAAGTGGGATTTTCTGATGTTCATCTGTACTTCCTTACACCAGATTAAATTAACAGTTTTTTGGTCCTGGTGTACCATCAAAGTGATGAAGGAGTCGGGTTATGTGATTGATGGACTTTACCTGGAGTCTGATTCTTGTCACCATGTCATTGATCTAACGTTCATTGCCTATTTAGAGCCGTACTTTTCCAAGTCATGAATTGCTATTAAGAATATTGAGAACAATCGTCTAGAATCCATCACCGATGTTGATGCTCGCTTCTAAATGTAGTGATTTTGGTAAGCTATCGGAATTGAAATTGTGAGAGAAGAATTTAACTCCTTTGCTTGCTTTCAGCTGCTAGCTCAGCAAAATTTCCTCTTTCCACAATCGCAATCGGTGAGGGTATTATAGTATCTCATAGCACGTGTTGTCTCACATACATGAGTTCTGTAACATATAATTTACGTCTCGCGACAATCGTCTGCATGATAATGCGTAATGACTATGATCCACTAAATCCACGGGGTAGATTTAACTTGAGATATACCAAACACTCTAATATATAATACCTCCCGCATATGAGTTTATTGCGAGTTACTCAAGCATGTCATTCATACACGAGGCTTTGAACAAGAATCCCTCGTAACGAAGGATTTGTTCCTATTTGAACACTTATTGATTATCCTACTGTACCAAAGTGGATCTTCAATGGTGTTTGGTCAACTCTCTTCTTCACCAACCTCACGTTTACTGAGGGTACATCTACACTTATATAGGCGGATCATGGACAATGTCAGTGATATCGTCGCAGCAGGAGGTTCTAGTCTATAAATGTAGATTTGTCACATAAACAAACATTTTTGCCGATTTCTTATAGAGTGATGTATCTATTATTCATAGAGTAGATGATACTTTGAACAATACTTATCGGTCGGCAACTTTTAGTATTTTTCCTTCTATCTTCTCGCTTTGTGTTTGTAAGTATATTTATCGTTGGGTCTATCGCTGGATTTTAACTATAGAGGTGAAGTAGGTAAAGATAGAATCTATTACAAGTATATTTACTTGAAACTAGGAAGATTTAATTGCATGAGCTACGACATGAGCTACTATTTTACTTCTTCCTTGGTCAGAAATTGTACAAGTTTTTACAATCTATTTTGATAGACCAAAAGCACTAGCATGTTCTGCATACTCTTAGTGGATTTGGCCAAATTTGGTTCTATGACTTCAAGATTTCACATGCTCTTGCTTCGGCAAAGAAATTTTATCTTGGATTTTCGCTCATCTAGGCATTGGAGTTTTCAACTTGCAAATTTTTCGTAATCCAAATTGATAAAGATTGGATTCATGCATCTATGCACATGTTCATTCTACACATATGACTAGTTTAATCCAATTGAGTTAACATGGTTTGATGCTCTTGAAGTGCAAAGGATAGATACTTAAAATTGTGTTAGTTGTGATGACGCGTGAAGGTGGAAATTTCACATTGAGAAAATGTTGGTAAGTATTACAGTTGACAAAGGTTAGAATGTATCTATACTTGTTCCGAGAAAATCAAATTACGATTGCAACAATGATGTACATAGATCCTATTAATGATTAAATTAAAATATAAGGGTATGATTCGTCATTTTGTTACATTAGGCTGCAAGTTTAGAATCATCAGTCAAGGTAACAAAACATATGATATATTACGAAGGTTAGGATTTACCTATACTTGTTATGAGAAAATCAAGAAACGTTGCAACAGTGGTACATCCAAGCATTGAAATTACATTTTTTAGTCTATAGAGTAGCTTTTCTTAGACAGACAATTTTTAAGAATTTTATTGCATATTTCACAAAGAACACTAATCAATATTATACACATGACAATAATCACATTAAATTAATGTGAGATAATATGCTATGATGGATTGTAGATTATTACTTGATATAGATAGTTTATATATTCTATGTGCTGTAGTATAAAATTCTCATCATGATACTCTCCAATCCTAAAGTACATCTCTATCAAATCTTGCCATACTTTTTGCTATCCACTTCATCTACCTTTGATGCTTTGTAGCAATGAGATAAGACAATGATTTCAAAACCTTGGTGTAAGCCTCAGAGGTATTATGCCAAATATGAAACATGTTTCACTCCATGATAGAGAAAATTACATCATGTGACATCTAATCCAAACAGTCACATCAAGTACCAAATATCCTTACATCTCTACAGCGAAGTAGACAAAATAATATCTATTGCAACACGTGAGTATGAAGTGTGGGATGCAAGACCTTTGCTATGTCTGTCAGAAAGACAAACATGGATAAGGTCTTGCTTCTCACATCTTAGATAATGACATAAGCAAGAAAAAATCTTGCACATGTATAAGTATAAGTATAAGTAAAAACATTGTTATTCGTTAAATTTTCCACATTCTAAATAATAGGTAAAACCAACAATTTTTTTTCCCTATATGGAGAATATTGACCCTCTCAAGCTAAGGCATGTAATATATATCTAATGGCGTCATCTATAGGTGTATAATCTAATTTAAATGGATGATCTGATGCATATCTACTTTAAATCTTACTCATCAACAAACTCTATCCAGACGTCTAGATATCAAGTAAAATGTTAAGAATGTTAGAAAGTTTATAGAAGTGCTACTAAAGAATCCCATGAACAATCTTGCAATCAGCCATGAATTTGATTGAGCAAGATTGAATGCCGGATATCAATGGTGTGGGTGATTTGAATTAGATCCATGAAAAGTGTTGTAACCCATCTCGATTAATGTAACATGTAATGCTCTAGCACATCTAAGTAGTAGATTATCAAACTAGATGCATGTGGTAAATTGTGTTTGTCTTGTGTCATGTACATCAGCACTCTCTTTATCTGAGCTAAGTATGCAAATAAGCATGTGTAAAGTAATTCAAGTATCCGTAATTTTGCCCCAGTATACATTATCAGCCGTAGCTACTAACCCCGCAGATATGGCTGGAGAACACAAAAACCATTCAAAGTATTTGTAAGTCTTCCGTAGTTACACACTTAAGAAAACTAAAGGATGGTGACGTTTGCACCTTCACCTCTTCTACTTCGATCACTTGAGAGTCAACTTGGTGGAAAGGTCATAAAGATCAAAGATGAACTTGCTAAGAGGTCTCACGATATGCATCTCTTGAGCAAAAATGAAAATATACATCCCGGAACTCTAGAATTGTCTCAAGAAGGATTGAACTGATAATGAGCCATTCCAAACGTCATCCTCTGGTCTAGTTTTGTCGTTGCGGCTATAACGATGGGTCCCACCACAAGAATTTTATGGTAACAACGTAGAGATCCATCCCCATTGCTCAATTATTTAGATGTATTCTCAAATATTAACACTAGTTGTTATCTCATAATCATTTGCAACATCTCTCCTCACTCACAGTGTAGTTCTGCGAATATTTGGCCTCTCCAAATTGTCTGATGTGTCAACGATACACGACGCTGCTCTAGATAGTGCGACTACTAATGCTTAACAAGATCGCGGATTGGAGTGTTCTTAAAATGTGAAATTCGAAGTTTAGAATATGAATACAATACAAGGAAATTATAGCTTCTGCGCTGCAGAAAACAGTTCAGGCACATAGTACATCCGAAAATATACGGTTTCATAACCTTCCAGGTCCGAAATCAGGAAGCTATATGTAGCCTAAACGATATTATCTCTTTGTGGGTCTTCACGGAACAATTAGATCTCATGTTTCTATCTGCAAGTCGTCAAACCCTTCCTTGACAGAAACCAACCGCCACAATATTTACAGAGTTCAGTGATTATCTAGATGTTGTATTCTCAAATATTAACACTAGTTGTTATCTCATAATCATTTACAACATCTCTCCTCACTCACAGTGTAGTTCTGTGAATATTTGCCCACTCCACAATATCCAGTACTGTACTATACCACATAAGGAGTCCTGCACTCCGTCATGGGTGCAGCCTTCCTTCGTTGAGAGCTTATACACATCGACCAGGGACTTTCCTGCTAACATTCTCTACTTGGACTTCTAACTAGGACTGATTCTGTATGTCTTTTGAGAAGAGTATGTGCACTATTGAATGGCCTGAGTCCACGCTGTAAACTGCAGTGAGTAGAAATTGCGCAACTAAGTTCATTTCTTTCTACAGTAACTCCACGGAACTCACATCCTGATCGAGCTCCTTTGAATCCATTACTTAGTGCAGGTGATGGAACTCAGTTGAGGGATCTCATTAATGGTTGCTTGGGAACTCGAATGACACGGCGTGGTAGGAGTGCTCTGATAGCTACAGAAGCAACAATACGAACCAGCACACCTATGCTCTGGCAAGTAATATTCTGGGGCAAGCCGCCTAAAGCTCAACCTTGTATGGTATCATTTAAAATCTGAAACTTGGGAACTGAAGACAGGAGTTTACCTACGACGATGAGAAAATAGTCAAAGGTAAAAGGAGGAGAAATATCATTATGGTCCAGATGCTCTTCATCACATCGAACCAATGGCATGTCTTAGATTCACAGAGAGCCAATCGCTGACCATAACTTTGAACAGAAACCAACCGCCACCTTTAGTTTAGAACAATACTTATGACATCATTTGGATAACTGGCCATCAACTAAACTCTACTAATCGCTTCGACCGAGCAATCAGAATGGATGGATTAAGCTGAGCTGCATTGGTTTGTACACGTGCTTTCGTCAACTAATTCCTTCATAACGACATAATCTCTCTGGTGGGGATTAAGCATTGACTCGGAAATTTTTTACGAATCACGATGCTTTGAAACTGACTTGCAGTCTTATCTTGAAAGCTCCAAAGGAACTCAACAAATAGCTTTACATTAACAACCAGGCAGAAGCCTGCCATTTTCTCATGCAAATACCCCACTTGGCCTGGACAGACTAACCTGTGCACTAACCTACTATCCAATGCTTCATTCGAAGAGAGTCCATGCATACTACAAAAGCAGATCCCTCCTAGCGACTGATTCCTAGTTGCCGTAAACCTGACTTGTTTATCCCCCTGCTTACAACAGCCAAAGCTGGCAAACTTCTACATCATGCCGCGAAAAAAAAGAACACCTGGCCCAGAACTCTGGGCACAAAGGTCACCATTTACCGTTCACCTTCCTGGTAACAATTTCCCTGACAGCCTGCAGTCTGCATAACAATTTTCATCTGGAACTGCTCCGTCCTCTTGGAGCAACTCACAGAGTGCACTAAAGACAAGCCCCATCTTTGCCGTGCAAAATGTTAGGAGTCAGGATATGACTGATCAATACCCATCATTTTGGGAAGCTTCTACCTAATTCTGGATTGCGTACTTTGGGCTCTTCCAAAAGGGGTGGAGACTGCCTCAACCGGTGTGTCATCTTATCGCAAATATGTTAAAATAATTAACTACCAGAAAGAATGGGAACGTAAGACGACATATTGCTATGGCGGAGTTTCAATTTGCAATAAGACTAAGTGCACCAGAGGTCCCCCCTCCACACCTTAGAATGAAGAAACTTCAGGCCTAATCGCACTTGATGTTTCTGTAAATTCTCCTGACAAAAGTGGACGAGCCAAGATAGCCCACGGCACCTGCAAAAGCCGTTAAACTGGATTCAGACTACGCAATATCAACGTGTTGAACATCAAGACCCTCTTGATGTTCAAGAGGTTCAGGTTCGGAACAGAAAACAGCTGTATTCAAAAGTTAACGGAAACAGGCAGCACTAGAGCAACTCTAAAAATTCAAAAACCTGGAGATAGACATCCCAGGGCCAGGGCACTTTGAACAAATTGAAACTAGACATAAAAGACGTCATGGAAGCTAGCACAGAAATTCCATGACGATTACTTACCGCAAAGTATTCCTAGCCCAATACAGAACATGGCGGTGTAGCCGAAGTAGAAACTTGTTTGGAAAAACCCAGACATCTTTGTTTTCATGAAGTAGTAGTATATGGAATACAAGTACACATAACCAGCCGTTGATGCTGCAGAAAAGAAGGATGTCCATTGCCAGTGATAATTTTCTGCATTAAGCAGAAAGTAGGTACCGACTATAGTAACACAAACTGTGACGATGACCAATATCAGGAAGACAAGTAGCATGAACCCGTAAACGTAGTATACCTGTCAAAAAGTAATAGCAGCAGTGAGAAAACACAAATGTGACAAATGACATTGATTGCGAGATGCTTTCTGCAATGAAATTTGACCAATCACAATCCGCAATACGTGCACTTTTGAAAGAATTTCACACCTAGTGAAAAAGCCAGATTATAGCAAGTAAATGCGATCCTCTTCCAGCATTCAGTTCACGAGACATTACCTTGTAGTTCCAGAAAGATGTGAAGACGAAGTACATTTCTATGAAGATGCTTCCAAATGGTAGTAGCCCACCCATCAACGCAACCACAGAGGGTGTAAGATACCACTTCTTTTCAGGAATTGGTCGAGGGATGGTCTTTACTCTACAGGGATTATCAGGTACACCACTCCAATTACGACCAACGACGGTTCCCAGAAGTGCAAGAGGGAATGAAATGAAGGCCCAGATAATGAAGACCACGACCTGAAAAATGAGGTAATATAGCAATAGGTAAGTCATTCGCAGTGCATAAATACGTCTGCAGTGTATATTGACAAAGCCAGAAAGGACAAAATTACAGGTGATGGGACAAGGTTCAGATTAGAGATAGAATAGAAAAAACAAATTAAACAATAGAGTTCTCACCATAGTTCCAAAAGGGATGGCAGCCAGAGAATGGTAAAATATGGCCACGGTGTTCAAAAGAAAGCCGATTCCAAAACAGGTGAATGGGAACAGAGAAGCAGTAAGAAGCATGGACTTAATCCAGTGTTTGCCTGCAGAAAACACACATGAGAATATACGTGTCTGAGAAGCAAGATTTTTCTTTTAACACCCACAACCAAAAACACGGAGCGCCGCAAAGTTCGGTAATTACTGAATTGAAGTTCAATACCCAATCCGCTAAGTTTACAAAGTCCTCTCCGGTGACTGAGAAACTGCAATCTCTGCGGGCAGTCTAAAGAAAGGCATCAAACGTACCATCATTGCGAGAGTAGAAACCTCCACTGACATATCCCGCGATGAAAGATGTAAGAGCATAGCAGACTATGAAGGTGGTGACGATAGCTCCACGACTGCAAACATTTTAATATTAAAATTACTCTGAAAAGCTTCAATACTACCAAAGCACATACCTTTCGACGGACAACGAGACGCTCAACCGAACTCCTACAATCTTCTTTGAAACTGAGATGAAGGAGATATAGATATATCTATCGACAGATAAAGGAGACAATTAAGATAGTGAAGCTGTTCGTAACAAGCTACAACAAGCTATAACAAGTCCACTAACCCACAAGGTCATTGTACTGTGAATCATCTGGGATTCAAGGATGCGTATTTCAACTATCTCAAAAAGCCGGAAATTTCAACCTCGCAGATAACCTACTGTTTGGGACAGATTTAAAACGAGACTTGTGACTAATTACGCTTGCTTCCAAGCAGATAGTAGGCTGCATCGATTGTGTGATGGGCAGAAGACATACCCGACATAGAGCATCCCTATGATGGCAAAGAGAATGACCAAGAGTATAAGCATTGCTAGCTGAGCTCCTGTTCCAACGAGTGCTGACAAAAGTACCAAGTTCCGTGGGGATCGGAAGACATCACCATGGACTAACTTCCATCCTGATTCTTCGCTTACATCACTTTGCTGCAAAACAAGCACACCACATCTCAAAGTTGGTTATCCAAGAGACATGGTTGAAGGAGCATTTAAATTGCACACCGACAATCTAGCACTAGCAATGAATATTCCAACGATGATCAAAGGAAGAAAGAGTACCAGAGTCTCCAAGTCATCTTCCTCTCGAGCATACTTTGCGTAATCATTTCGTAAAGTGCGCATAAGGATCATGGAAACAAGTCCAGTCAAGAAGATGACCATCATGAAAGAGTTGAAGATAGAGAACCAATGAATCTGCAATTGGACATGGATGACATATTTAGTCTTTGTGATTTCATCATATGTAGACATAATTTTATTTGATATAAATGAATCTAGCCAGATATATGCTACAATTTCGAAAATACTTTCCGTGGAAATCACATATAGGTAAAGGTAATCGACTCCTCCATACACATCGCTCTGCCCAGTTGATAAATCGTCAATTTCAACGGAAATTGGGTTCCTCTTAGCGCCTAGTTACAATAGAAGGGCAAGAGTGGAATCACGTCGGTAAAAAGGTCTGCGACACAAAGCGTCATACTTGTTGACTACAACTACATTGGATAGGATGGATTTCTTGGGCCCTGATCCTCTACACGATAAATATCCATGAAAGGGGTAAGCTTCCCAATCACATTGCAGCTTTCAGAAAAAAAACCCACTTGCAAGCCCGCGTTTTCAACAAGAGAGTATACTTTGTCAATCTTCTACGGACCATCTTTGTCCATAAATTGCACGTTGGCTTGGATTAACAAGCTGCATATTTCCCTAAACTCAAACATTTGTACCCCTCCTCGAACATCTCAAACGCTGCCTTATCTATATAATCCACGTTTCATTTCCGCAGACTCCAGTATCCCTTAGATTTCATTTGATTTTTAGCGAATATTACTAACTTGATATATGTCCATCCACAGAGCAAAAGCTCCTCCTGCTTTCAGATGTCATCTTGCCTCAAAAAGCTTCCGATAACGCGAGTTCAGACTTCGGCTATGGAAAAGGTAATGACTACATAGCTGGGCGATTGATGGTGTAATATGATCTGGTCGGTGCATACATGCTCAAAGTTGTTTTTAAGAGCCATCAAGATAGAGCATTACAGCTCACCAGGGAAAGCCACCGATACCCCATCCAAATCTGGTACTCGTGAATGGTTCTTACGATTATCCAAGATACACCACATCCTTTCTCCGCTTCAGAGAGATGTCAATACTCTACTAGTAAGAAATTTTCTGAGCACCGTGCTCCTACTCACATCATACTGAAAAAAAATATATACTTTAAGAAAGAAACTTTCTTCATGATCAGATGAAGCACAAAAATGCTGAAAGCCAGACGGAGTAATATACCTGATGCTCAAAGAAAGGATAGTCCAAGTAGGCATCAAAACGCCTGGCAAAGGAGGTGGTGACGGCTACCCACTTGACCGAGTAGGTAAGCTCCAGAGGCCTTCCCGCTACGATGGGTTGAGGATTATCTTGAGTCAGATTCACTTGAATAATCTGTGGCAAAGATTCAATAATTATCGCCTGTTTCATGCACTTACATCTCGAATCCATCGTGCCTGATGTATAGCAAGAAAAGATAGGACATGGCTACAAATTCACACCTGATCACCGTTGTACTTCACAATGAAGTTCTTGTGAGTATACAGTAGAGCTCTGCTGTTCTCATCTCTCTTATCATTGTGAGGTTCACCAACAAATCCTGTTAAAAAACCAATTCGTTAACAACGAATGAGCATGTCAACTCTGAGCTATTTGCCATAACACATCATCGAGCCTTTTGTTGCGAAGAAATCAAATTAGATCAAAGGACTGAAAAGATAAAAGTGTTTGCGTACCCCAAAGAGGCAGGTCATCTGCAGTAGATCGGAAAAGGCATTAAACATGTCAACAGAAACAAGCACTTGGTCAGAGACAAGGAACGACGGAGAGCGACACTAGGGATATGTGGTACTCCTATGTGAAATACATGTCTACACATCAGATATCTCCTGTGATAGACCTAAAATGGTAGTAGTAACCAAAATCAAATCGTCTAGTGCAGGAAGTTCGTCAAAACGACAGGAAGATCAATAAGGAAGTGCAGAAGATCAAAGACCGCACCCATGAAGAATTCGAACCAGTATGTATTCTCAATTGCCTCTTTGAACTGTTTGGCATCCTCCGGTTTGACGTCCTCAATCTTACAAATGACGGTCTTCTCGACAGGGACTGCCAAACAAGCGTGTTTCACAGAATCAGATAAACAAAAGACATGTCGTCCTTTCCTCTCAATGTGACATAACACTCTATGTTCGCGAAAACGAATAAGGTGACCAACAAAAGTCAACCGCCTGTAAAGTTCAGTCTAGAATCTGCCTTGTTTTCTTCAATCAGAAACGCAAAAGCTCCTAATCGATACAACACATCGAATATTTGCACACACAAAAAAAATTACGGAATATATAAACAAAGTGATACATTGAGAACATGAGTTTACCTTTAAACTTGATCTCAATATCGCTGTCAATAAGCTCGTTTCCCTCCAGTACTTCTCCGAGTCCTCCCCATTTGTGATTCGGCTCTCGAGTACTTGGCTTGCAGAAGGGCAGGCTGTAGTAGTTGTACGTTTCTTGAGGATTGTTGTAAGGACCCACTTTGTTCACCCACAGAGTAACAGAATCACCATCTGCGTACTGCTCCAAGCATCCGAGGCATACAAAAATCAGATGAAGAGAAGCTGAAAAGAGCTAAAGAGACTATAGGCACGAGCCTGAGAGAAAAAGCCAGATCTATTCACATGAAGCAATCTGAAATCCGAAAATACCAACTCGCGGCATTACGTCCGGATTTAGCAATGAGAAAGTCACCCGGACACAGGGGAGAGCAGCAAGAACTGACAAGAAGCGATTTATCGACATCAATCTGAAGACAGAACCTGCGTGATGGACTTCAGCGCAGCAAGAAACAGCTCAAAACGTTGTTCCGTAATCCTCCCCGGGTATAATTGCAGGTCTAACGAAAATACGGGAAGTCAGAGAGATGAGATAGTGAACGCATGAGGGAGAGGGCAAATTTGATGCAAGGCTTCGACGAAGAGAAAACGGGGCACGTTTATTGCGATTCCCCGGCCATAAGGAGGGTGAAATGCAGATCTTCGGAAACTTTTAGCTGGCTTACATCAGGTGCTGCAGGTAGGTCAAAACCCTGTCAAAAGCTCCATTCCTTATGATCGTTGTCAAGGTCGCAAGGAAGCCACGAAAAAGAAATGTCCAGGAAAGAATAGAAGGGGCCAATACTCAAACAAGAGCGCCGCACATACCTTATGATCGTACTCCGAGGCCCCACACGATTGGAAAAACAACACCGCAACGACACAAACCGCCTGCCAAAGCACCGTCCCCGCTGTTTCCCGCATCTTCAATTTCCTACGCAAGCCTTGCGGCTCGCCAGAGATCTTTCACGAGGTCCTGAAAACCCCCGTCTCCTCGAGGAACTCTCGATATTCCTGGTATTGTTCGGCCACGACTGCGAGGGCAAACCCTCAGATCTGCAGCTCTCGATCACCAAACCTCGGGGAGGGCACCGTTCCTTGCCGCACCTGGGGCCAAAATCCGCCTACCTCTGCTGCGTGCTCGGTAGCACTGCCATCCGAAGCCTGAGCACGATACCTCCCCGATCGAGAGTCGAGGCAATGACAAGAAAGATTGCGCACCGCGATCGATCGGGCACCCTCTCTCCCTCTCTCTCCCCCTCTCTCGCTCTCTCTGTCTCGCTCTCGCAGCGCACAGCAAGCGAGCGAGCAGAAAGGGCCAGCAGCAGCGGCAGTCTCGCAGCCAAGGCAGGCCGACGACGGCCGTCGGGCCCGACTCCTAAACTCTGCCGCCGGCACGGCCTCTTCCCCTTTCCGGTCATCGCCCCGCCCCGCTATTTGTTACGCCCCCGCCTAATGTTAGCAGTTTCCCCTCTCCCGGGGATAACATGCCCCCGGAGCCCGTCCGGATGGAGCCCCCTCACCTCTGACCGCGGCCCGCCGTTCTCGCAGACCGACCGCCCGCCCGCCCCATGCACTGTCCGGCACTTCACTGGCCCGGACCGCGATCGTGGTCCTCGACTCCACTGCCCCCGTCGTGGTCCGTCGCAGTAAGCATTTCCCCTCTCCCCTCTCCCCTAGGTCCCTCGGTCACCCGGTTCCTCCTTCCCTCGGACCCATCTCGTTTTCTCCGCCCCATTCTTCGAAACACCAGCTTTTGGCCATAGCTCCCTCGTCGGGCTCTCACAGTCGGTCGTTCGCAGTTACGACGATGGTGCGAGCTATCTGTCGAGTCGAGTGTATGACATTACACCGACGTGGTACTCGTTCGAGGTACCGAAGGCGAAGATTGCTCGTCCAGATCTTCTTTTGTCTTTTCTCTGTTCGTCAAACACATCAAAGAAAAAGGTGACCACCTTCCGGAGGAGCATGTGATCGGCGATCACACCGACTCATTCCTAGGCGCTGAAAATATTGCGGATTTCTTCGCATTCTGAGGTCTCTTCACGTACCTGACTTGGAATAAATGGGTCTTTTTTATGTGTATGAGACGATGAGAAGTGACTATAATAAATCTTAGAGAGTGCGAGCTATATCGTCGGTAGTGGACTTCTCTGGACAGTACCCGATCTGGAAGGAGGACTTACAGTCAAGTCGGTTGAAGAGTACCCGTCTACAATCGGGCAGTCGGCTGGATGACATTCCTCCTAGTACTCCTGCCTCTGCCAAGGATCCACAATTATTAACATCATGAGATCAGAGGTTCGGGAGGATGAGGTGTTACTTTTGCAGGCTCTTTTGGAGTTCGGTCATTTTAGTGTTAGTTTGTGTGTTGTGGAAAGAACATCTTGATTGTGAGGATTTCCCTTCTTTTATCATTTTTGTATGTGAGTTTGCGAACGGTAGGAACTTACCTCATGTGCAAAACGATATGTTCTTTTTAGTCCAACCTTCAACGCGCAAGTGAAATCGAATGATATAGCACTTTAACGTTTATTGGCTCCCTTTGGAATTGTATACCTGTCACGACAATACGAGAACTTGAATTGCATTCAATTCTGGAGCAAATTGTGGGGTTACCATGAAATATTAAGAATACCGGCTCACTCGAACAAAATTTGTGATTTTCAAAGATCATGAATGAACTGAGATAATCGTTTTAAATTCGTATCTATGATTCATGCAACTAGAATTTAATATATTTTATATTATATTCTAGTTGCATGCATTCACAAAATCTGCTAATTCTACTAACTTAAGCAAACTCAAAGAGTTTGATATGAATTGTAAGGTGTGAAAGTGACCTTGATCAGCTTTATGTGCATTCAACACTAAGAAACCAAACAATACTGTGAAGTCAACAACAGCATATGTCGTTACATAAGACAGATGAACATTCAAATTAATGAAAATACTAGTTTAACGATTGGATAACACCTTTTGTCTTATTTATTCATAACAAAATGCAATATATACACATTTCTAATAAAAAATTACATGATTTGTAATCATGTTCTGAATTACTTGTGGTTTTATTTTATTTAAAGATTAATTTTCATTGAGATATGTCATAACAAAATATTTGATTGAAAATTCCACATTTACATGTAAATAATAGTAATTAAAAACAATGTTAATTTATGGTTTATGTATTGAGTAGACATATGCATATACTTACAGAACTGAAATTGTAAATAGTATAATTTGACAAATTCTGAAACAAATGATGATATTTTGACCAAAAAATTGTAGATTTTGAGTTTTTTTATTATAAAATTATATGATATAGTCTTGCATGATTTATTTGAAAAAAATGTATGAAAATTATGTTTTAAAATTTAAATAAAAAAATTTAAAAATATATATTAGTGTGTGAGATATTTCAAACAATTATCTTCATTCATAAAAAACGTAATACAAGCGATTATAAATTAATATATTTATTTTCCATCTTTAACACAAATATAGATAGTTCATCTTATTTACATGTGCTTTGTATCAGGATTTTACAAATAACATAGACGATCAAATCATGTATATCACTACAATTTTCATTCTATAAGAAAATTTTGCACTTTACACCAACAAACTGCACATACATAAGAAATCTAATTTTATCATAAATAAAAGGTTAAGGATAAAAATATTAAAACGCAGATATAATTTTCTAAATTGTTTGTTACATGTTTTGAATATTAGTATGGAAATAACCAATATCAGATCAAAGCACGTTGAATAAAGTGATCTAAAAACCCAATCTACAGCAATCTATCGATTACAATGAACCAGCATATAAATTTAATTTTGTAAGTAACGATAACGAATTATAAAATATTAAATATCAAAACCTTGATTAGTTAAATAATTAATTGATTATATAAATACATAGGACAAAATGTAGTTTTTAGAAGACTTTACCCTGATCAATTATCAAACTTTACAAATTCTGGAATTTTTTGTATCATGTTTGGTATTATTACAGAATGTTTGTTTCAAATTTAATTTCATGTATTTGAACTTAAAAAAATGGTCACTTGTTTATTAATGATTTTTTTAACATAAAAATATTAAATATCATTAGAATAATTAAGTAAGTATGATCATAATATATAGTTCAAAATATTCTCTGTGAAATAAACATGTAAAATAGAAAAGAGGTTTGTAGTTGTTAACACAATGTTTTTAAATATCATTAGGATTATTTGGATCATATGTATAAATATATTTTTATAAAAATCTGATGTTTAAAAATGTGCCCACAGTACAAATTTCAAAATCATTTTATATTTTAAACAAAAAAAATTTTGGTGATTTTTTGGTTCATTCTTTAAATTTATTACATGTATTTATTGAAAATTTAGGTCTTAAAATTTTTTATTGCAAAAATAGTATTAAACAGATGGATGAGAAGTCAATGATATAATATGTAATTTGAAATATTTATTCAACATAAAATTAAATAATCAAAAGATAAACATTGAAAATTCAGAAATGATTAATTTTGTATAACATTAATTATTAACTACTTGTTTTCAAAAAGTAGTTAATCATAATCTAATTATTTTTATATATTTAAATTTATTAAGCACTATTTTTAGAATATTAAATATAAAATTCAAATATGTTGATTTAATAAACAAGAAAACACAATTATATACAATTACAATATATAGATTTTTTAAATAATTAAGATGTTTATTTTTAAACCAATATAAAAATTTATATTTTCATCAATAATAAAATTTAATGTGTGACAAAGTTTTGTCAAGTATCCAAGTTTTTTTTAAATTTTCAAGGCTTAAAATTATTATGAGTAAATTATGAGCCACATAACTATATTATAGTATGAAAGGGAATTTTGTTGTCTAATTGTACACATATTGTTTTACATCATTAAACAAACAATACAAAATAATAATTGATAATAATTGTGATGACACATAATCTTGATCGTTGATTTAAAGATATTAAATTTATAATTATTTTTTTATTTAAAAATAATTATAATATAAATAATTTAATTAAAAAACATAGAGACAAATAAATATTTCACCAAATTTATTTTTAGTCTAATGTCTAGTTATGAACAAATTCCAGTTGCAACAAAGTTGATTACAAGAAGAATAAAAGAGTAACAACAAAAAGCCTAAATCACTATGATATAGAAGTGAAATATATTTTGCCAAACTAGTATCCAAATTTTTCAATGTAACATGTAATGTTTGTTGATATAAAATGAACCTTAATCTATTTATATAATTTTGATTTACTTCATGAATTGTATATTTTTAATTTTATTTACATTAATTGTTTAATTTGAAAAAATATTTTTGTATCAAAAAATATAAAAATATTTCCCTTGCAACAGATACATTTTTCTGATATTTAAAATTGAATTTGGATTTTATAATTAACTTCAGGTAAAAAAAGCCGAAGTTAAAATCTATGTAGGAATTTTTTTTAAAAAATATAATATTTTAATAACCTGTATATGAAGCACAGATTTATTCTTGATTTGTGAAACACCATAATATGTTTTTAGAGGAAATAAAATAAAAATTTAAAAATTTTATCCAATATACTTTATATATAATAAGTTTTATCTTTTATACATATATAATTATTTGGTAAAGTAATCATGCTATAATCTTAATATGTTTAATTTACATCCATTTCTGAAAATATAATGAATATTTGTTATACATCAATTATATATTTATTTGGATTTTGATAGTGCAATTTTATACAAAAAATTTGTTAGCAAATTTCAAATTAATGACATATTTAAATTTTGATATCTATTCAATATTTAGAAATTCTTAAAACATGTCATAATGGATTAAAATTGTAATTGTTGATGTGGATTGTATGTAAGATTTTGTTTTTATCTGTAGAGCAAATTAATACGAAACTTGTTATTGCAAGCATATTCTACATTCTAAGACTACTTAGAGGTTTAAATACTAAATCTAAATTGATTGATAATTCATTAATTGATAAACAATATTTTGATAAGATATTTGAAATAAAATAAAGTAAATTTTAATTTCCTCTAAATCTGAAATTTTTTATAGATTATAGTGTAAAATTATTGCAAAGTTGTTGCCTGGAGAGATTGTTTGTGAACTGTAACTTGCTGTAAAACCCCCCTTAAAAGACAAATTCACAAAGGTTTACTTGATATTTTGCATTATATAATATTTGCAAAATTTTGAACATTCTTGGTTATGCTAATTTTTTTTTCTAAATTATGTGTAACTAAATGAATATATTTCCATCATCAAATAATATTGGCTATACATAATGGAGAAAAAGAGGTGTATTAGTCTATATAACTAATTCTTCTAAATGATGAATGAATAATTAATCAAAATTCAATCTTAATTGGAAAATTTCTGAAAATATAAAGTATTTATTAATTTTTTTATTTGTAACAGTACCTTTTGAGGTGAAATTATTATCACAAATAAGTGAAAACACACACATGTATAAAAGTTTAAAGCAAAATTATCTGATATTCAATTTATCTTTAGTACAGCCTGTATTTCCAAGAGGTATGCGAAAGAAAATCTTACAATAATTGTTGAGATACATATTTCATAACATATTGTACGCCAAATGTTGACATGCTGAAAAACAATGAGGGCATTCAGCGAGGAGTTGGTATCGAAGAAAACCTAGAAAATATTCCTTAAATCCGAAACACCTCGTGAGTGAATGAATGAGCCGTATCATTGGGTGCTATGCAAGATGTTACTGTGGACAGAAACTGTGATAACTGATTCCGGACACAATTTCACGTGCCAAGGCTGTCACACGCCATTCATCCACGTAACAGGGGTCGCCATAATACCATATCCTAGTCGGAACGTACTATTATAGCCTGGCCTGGGGACGCCATCCCAGAGGCCGGCAGTGGCAAAATTGACTCATAGCAAGTATTGCTTAGTCAGGGAAATGACGAGACTATAATAATTAAGCACGTACCTACTGCTTCCGGACGCATCGACAGCATTCCCGTCCATGAATCTGTCGAGAGGCCGCGGAAAAGAATCGGGCACGTGTCTTCCGTTCGCTCTGTGATGCCTTTCGAGCTCTTCGAATCGAGGAACGGAGGAGGTCTCTCCGCACCGGCCGAGGATCGAGCTCCATGAGCATGTGAGTGATGCATGGACGGTACCGCTTTTCGTACACGACTCACGAGCGCCTTCTTGTTTCAGAGGGTTGTTGAAGTTCCAGTTAAATCGGTTGCTGCCGTGAGCCGGAAACCTCGGCTTCGAGGGCAGAGTGGGAGGCAAGAAGGGAGAGAGGGACGAGTGAAGGAACGAACGAATGAATGATTATTCTCGAGCACGAAGCGAGAACGTGCATAGAAATTTGAAGATGGAGAATATAAAGTGAAAGTGGAAATACGTTCCATGTCGTTTGGAGCGATCAAAAGCTGCTCGATATTTGTTGCTGAAGTGTTTTGTCGCGTTGAGACCATTGGCCTCCGGAGCCTAACTCCTTTGCACTTCGGGTTAGGCAAACATTGGACGGAACCACACGCCGAGGGGAATCTCTTTCGCGGTTGACTCGTGGTGCACCAGATCCAAATCTAATCCCTCCTTGTAGACATGAAGGTAGAGTTTGACACCACATTGACCCCGGTCCTTGGCGATCTCGTGTGTAAAGAACGCTCCGAGATTTTCGTTCATTAAAGGAAGCGTAAACAAATGTTGACCAGAATCGAAAGGAGGAGGGCGTTTGTGACATCGGACCTCAAGGAGGCTCGCGTTGGGCCCTTTGTATGGTCTTGCTGCAAAGAGCATCACGTAAATTTGAAAGAGTGAGGCAAGCTCACCACGAACGGTCTCCATCTTTGTGGTATGCGTAAATTTAGAAGAGGGCGGTAGTTGTTTCCATTGAGGGGGAGGATTTGGAGCAAACCGGGAGAATGGAATCTGATGCGGAACTTAAATGTATTAGAAGACAAAAAGGGTATAAAGAAATGAGGCTAGTGTATTTATATGAAATGGAGAGCAGGACAGCCGAAAAGCAAGGATGAGAGTTGTGATGCAGTTCTTTAGCTGTCACAACAGAACAGAGAAGAGTATGCGGTTTCTCCCTTAGAAATTCTTCTGAGTCATGTGAAGGTAGAGTGGAAGGCGGTGGAGTAGCATCAAGTACGTACTGTACTTTTGGCTGAAGGAAATGTGGAATGTTTGATCATCCTGGCGCAGGAAATTTGGGAGATTTGCGTTCAGATACGATTGGGGCTTTATCGTGCACCTGTCTCGACTCTGACTTTCCCTCTATAACTGTAGTTGCGAGAATTTGTGTTGGGAGAAATCCGAGCATCTTGCTGCGTACGGAGGTGTTGGGTGTTGGGTTTTAGCCCGCTGGAACGACTTGAACTGTCTCTTTGCTTTTCCGTTTTGTTTGACATAGAGCGAGAGTTGCTCGTCCATATACTGGCGGTGGGAGCAGGAGAGATGGATGTGGATCCTCGAGACTACGAGCACGTGGTACTGCTCATTCTGCTCTGTTCCTCATTGTTGGCGCACAACGTGAAGCCTTCTTGGTTGCTTTGGCGCAAAATTTTTGTGCCAATTGGCTTGGGAGAGATCCGCGGGGGGCTTTTAGAAGTCTTTGTTATTTATGGGTCGTACTAGCTTATGAGAAGACGGCCTGAACGATGGTGGAGTGACTTAAGTATTTTCATCTGGTTGGTCTCGTTTGTCCTTGCACAACCTAAACCCTTCGGTTCGTGGAACTCATCTTTTGCTTCAATTGACCTTGGGCTCGTCTTTCAAACTGTACGTACGAGGTTTGATCTATCTTGAGTTACAATGGTCCCATGCCGAAAGAATTGACTCGCTGGGACTTCACAATAATCTTTCTCCTGCTGCTCTGTTCCACAGCTGAAACCCTTTGGTCGATGTCATAGAAATCCATCTAGCAATTTTTCGAACTGCTTTAGAGAGGTTTTGGTTATTTGAGTCACAGCTATGATCGTGTCATTCACACGACCCAACGAAATTCAAATTGATTAGAAAAACCTGAAGGTGTTTTGTTTTCCCTGCTGCTGTTTTCTCTTGACTCCACGCTGAACGAAATGCAGCTCGTTCTCGATTCGGTGTACCTCACGATTCATAAGTTGCAGCGTCTAAAAATGTGCTATTTTTGATTGCATAGGGGGCAATTTTTGAAAGATGTACGCTAAGGGTTTGGTGAGGAAAGAAACTGTAACCATTTGTAGCCTCACGGGAGAACTGATCAATTCTGTAAGATTCGGATTCCACACAGAATGCGATACTTGCCTCTGGTATGATGTTCTTTTTACGCCGCTGAACGGCCACTGACTCAAAGTTATCTCATGAATATTTGCTCAATGCAGAAGATAAACGACAATGACGTGAGGAAAATTGTTCTGTCGTATCTCGTGCATAATTGTTTCAAGGAGACTGCGGAGACATTCATTTCATGCACGGGCATGAAGCGATCAGTGGACTGCTCCGTTGACATCGACAAGAGAAAACGTACGAGCCTGTTTACTAATATCCTCCAGGCAGTATTGGTAAAACAAAGGGGCTGGATGAGTGACGAGCATCCTCATCATATTCCCTTGGAGGGAAAGCTAATAACAGTGCTTTTCTAGTGAAAGACATTGTTATAAACAACGTAGGTTTGCCACTAGGAAGTTTGTTCGAATGACAAGAAATAGTCTCTTCAGTCGGAACTGAACTCTGAAACATATTCTTCATTGGGTATGTCACTAGGACTGATTTGAAACGTCAGTCACAGATCACTTAACCAGCTGATTTAGAGGCCTTACACTTCTGGCCTTCTTCACTAATCTGGTGAATATCAACAGAAGAAACTCTGTGCCAATTAGTTCTGGCAGTCTTTGGTCTATTTGAGTCACCAAAATCTGTTGCCAATCTAGTTTGCATGCTGAATCATCATCTGCACTCGTCACGATAGTCAGTTTGAGGATCTGTCGTATCGCACTAGAAGATTCAGATTTATGAAGCTGAATACAATCTACCTTACCATTCGGCACTTTGACTTGAACTGTCAAATTTTCTGCAGAACTACTGTTTGAGACGGATTGTGGAGAGGCTGGTTTTGTGCAATACAACTGATGGGTCTATCTAAGTAACTTCAATTCCTCATATACTTCGCTCTTTGTGCGCAGCTATATATAAACATGTTATGGAGGGTAACGTCTTGAAAGCTATCGAACTGACCAATCAGCTAGCAGCGGACCTCTTGCAATCGAATAAAGACGTTTATTTTGATCTGCTGACACTCCATTTTGTTGAACTTGTCCGCTCCAAGGATTGGTGAGTTATTGAAGATCGGCATGTGTCACTTCTACTCCTGTTTTTCTCAGGCATCAGTCATCATAGTAGAAAAGTCTGAGAAGTCCATCTCGTCATTCAATTCCGTGGTAGCTGATCATGACTAGTGTATCTTAGTCCGCAATTTTGTCCAAGTTTGATCTCGTATTTACTTAGCTCTTCCCTTAGCAGTACAGGTGCCTTGGAATTTGCTCAGAAGGAGCTCAGACCATTCACTTCAGGCAAGCATTTGGAAAGGCTCCAAGTGAGTATTCTTTTTTACGTTATAAATATACATGATAACGTTGTTTTTGAATTTTGAAGCAGGCTCTTTCCTATCAAATAAATTTGAGAGAACAACGCTCAGAGTTCCTATTCTGTTCTCTGCAAGCGTAGGAGTCTGCGGAGACTTTTCTTGCAATCATATTGTAGACAAGATACGAACCAGAGAAAGTCCGTAGTTCAGTAAAATGATGCTGATCCCAAGACCCCAGACTTCAATTAGTATCATATTTGTCAATAAAAGTCACTCTTTCATAAATTCTGATCTACATAGCTGTTAATATCCTAGTTTCCTGACTGCCCAACTGTTGGATCGGGCTCTTGTCTCTTACTATACCCGATTGGGAGAGAGACAAAGCGGTCGCTGCCGTTGAGACTTATATAACGAAGAATATGTATCCGATTAATCAAACTCGCAAACGGTGGCATGCAGCTTTAAACCATATAATCAAAGGCTGGATTTCTAGTTGGGGAATTTCTTCACCCTATATGGATAGGTATTTTTATGCTTCAAAAGTAAAATATTTGTTCCTATCTGATTAGCTCGTATTTATTGCTCAGCGAATGCCTTCCCTTGACGTGGTAAAAATGTGATTGTACGCCGATTGCAGGACTGTATGGCATTATTGGCCTATGAAGATCCAGAGACTTCTCCACTATTTTCTCTTTTGAGCATGGATCACAGACAAAGTATTGCAGATGCTTTGAATCGTGCTGTATTAGGTGAGTCTCTGGTTGCATTGCTGTTTTGAAACCTCTTCGATGTCAGTACCATGACGTCTTCACAAATTCTACAGACGTTAATGATACTCTGATGAACAGATGATTCACATAGTTGAAATAGAATCTCGAGTACAGGTCCAAAGTAAGATCAGGTGCATAATTTGTCGGCATAGGAAGAGATGTTCGTTACTGTGGTGTGACTTCTTCTGCATCTACTGGCAAGAAACTGTTACTGCCTTGAAATGCCGTGACAAACGAAATTCAATCAAGTGTAGGGATCTATTTACTATTTCATTCAAGGTTGTGTTGACGAAAGGTTTTTGTACTTGATGCTAGTGCATGCCAATCTTCCGAGCTACACATCAATGGAAAGACTCATACAACATATCACTGTTGTTCGACAGCGGCTGCATCAGGAGCTTGGAAAGGTGTGGCTTTTTAAACAAGTTTCTGATATGTTTTATCTTCCGCTCCTCGACGGTTCCTTACAAGTAAAACTGGAGGAAGTTTCACAACACTCTTCCAATCTTGGTTTTCGTACATTACAGTATCAACTGAAGCAATCAGTATTGTAGCTCAGATATTTATGATTCTCAAAGAAACTCTTACGAAATACTGGCATAGGACTGAAGAAAATCTTTCACTTAGTTCCTTCGCTAAGCAAAGTACATTTACGGCTTCTGTGTTCTGCTCACCGAAGTATTTCCATCGTCGTTTCAGCTCCTTCAGTAATTGGCAGTCTATCGAGGTCCAAATAGCTGCGAACAAGAGGTTCCATTAGACCTGCAATGAGGTGGTTGTAATTGTTGAAATAAGGTGTTTGGGCAATTAACATGGATGTTGTTTCGGGTGTTAACTTGCAGGATGGACCTCCAGTTTTTGGTTTGGCTTCTTATCTGAAGAGCTGAGAGTTTAGCAGGAAGATTGATCGCAGATGAATCCGCAACTGCTAAAATGACAGAGTAGTCAACTCATTATGCAGTATTTGGAAGATTAGCCATGCTCATTGCCACCAAATGCTGCATGATGCTGATCAGAGTGGTGCAGCAGAAAATAGAATCATCTCATTCACCTTCCTATGGCTAGTTGCGAAGCACAATGTCGCTATCTATCTTGGCTGCTCGCTACTTTCACCTACTTCAGGTTTAATGAAGTTGCAAGGATTACGGCTTCGTGGGAAGACTTCATCTTTTAAAGGTTATGACTGGAGGCTGAAATGTACAGGATGACCAGAGCAGATTCTTTACAAGAAACTTCGAGTAGACGATGATCCTCTTTCGGGTATATTTTATAAGGCACGGTGTGAACTATTAGTTCAGAGCGACATGTACAAAGGTAGCTGAATTGAAAATGAAAAGTAGATTCAAAAACGATGCCGACTACGGCGACGGTTGGTTTTCATGCTCCATCGTCTCCTTTGCATTTCGATTGTTATTGGTTCTTGTTCTTTTTTTGGTTCTCTTTGAAAAATTCTACCGCATAATGCGGGGAGAGACGAGGAGAAACTACACAATATTTTGGAGACATAGAAGACATTGTATCTTAAAATTTCTCGAATGCAGGTTGGACATGGTTCATGTATCAACGACTGCCGTGAAAGGGAGTGACCACAATGACTTCAGGATTTACAACGCAGCTCATTCTTTAGAACCTCCCTGTCAAGACACATACAATCCAGCTATTTTGACAACAATTACAACACACCTAAAATCATGGGGCTTTCGGGTCCGGTTATCGCCCTTGCCAAGCAAAGGTGATGACCCTGGGTGGCATGTCTTGTAGAGTGGGCATTGGATGAATGTGTGGGCGGCAGAAAACTAGAAACTCTGGGAGCCCACGTGTTCATTCTAAGGATCGAAGAGACATTGTCGCCAGCATACATGGAAGTTGTCACGAGTTGTCAGCCGTCAAGAGTCAAATTTTTGAACCACAATGTCCAGGAGCAATACTCAAAGTACGTCATTTGAATCGTTTGAAGTTTGAGTCTTGTTGAAACTAGAATCATCAGATCCCAGAGAGTCACAGGCCACGCCAGGGGCACATCCTGTGACATGATTTCGCAGAAATCTAGTTGTCTTCTCGCACGAGTCCAACGGAAGTACGCTTTTGGAGTTTGGGATGTGGGGACACACAGACAGCAAAAGCGCCTGGGGATCCACGGAGGACGATTAATACATTGGAAACCAGCTGACCGCAACTGACTCCACATGCCGCTGGCGTACGAGGGATGCATGCTACAGCCTCTTCAGTGCGCGCTCACGTTGACGAGAACAACAACGACGATGCTGGAGGCCTGGAGACGTGAAAGCCAGAAGTCAAAAGGCAGCCCGGCCCCATCGTCGACGTACAGAGTCAAGTTCCATGGCCATGAGTGAGTCGGAGAAAGCATTCTGGCAATGCAATCGGGACTCCGAATTCCGGAAGCACGTCGAGGAAGCAGCAAAGCTCGAACCAGAGTGTCCAGACGGCGATCCGAGTCCGTGCTCTGTGCTCTGTGCTGCGCTCAGAATCGCAGGCTCTGACTTCAGATCTGCTGTTTTGTCAGCCCCGGCCGTCGATTCGCATGCAGCACTACGTCCCAGTCGCCGTCCTTTTCTGAAGCCTGTCGGGATACGGGGCCGCACCCTCTACTTGTCGGATGCTCACTCTCCCTTTTGTCGGCTCGCTCACTTTCGTAGATGTCGGGAACCAGGACAGAAGAATCTGCATTTGCAGCGACGACTCGTCGATACTTCTCTCGTTGCTGCCCTCCTCCCTCTGAACGAGCCCCGACATGCCGAAGCTCGTCCCGTACAGTATTTCTCAGGCAGTGTCCTCCTTGTGGAAAATGACGCTGACGAGATGTGGCGCATTTCGATCAGCTGGACTCGGTCGATGGCATCGAGATGCGAGTTCTTTCTCTCATCCTGTGGTGCAGGAAGTCACCAACGTCCGGCGAAGCATTTACGTGCACGGTCTCGAGGCGACCTTAGAACGTGCTCCCTGCTCTCTGATGCAAATCCATGGCACTGAAACTGAGTCTATGATGAGGCCTTGAACTTTGTGACAGGCGACGTCTCACGAGACGGCAGCACTGGCAGCAGAGGCCGAGGCAATCGGCAGAGCCTCAATACAAAAGAATGATCGCACGAAACACGAGTCGACGACGAAAGGTTTAGGCTGAAACCTGCATCGCTGCCGAAGATGCTCACCAAAAGCTCACCATGACGGTCTCATCCGCCGTGAAGGTTGACGTTCGAGAAATATATGCTGCGTCACCTCCATTGAGCCTGATTAGCCAGTGGATAGGCCTTGACGGAGGCCTGGCTCCTGAATACTGATGTTTTAGAGAAAAGTTTTGCAACGTTGATGAAGGAGGACACTGTCTTCAACGAAAGCTTCGATATGTGTCAAATGGGAATATGAGAAATACCTTTTTTTTCAAGAAATGCGAGTACTTTGACGGAATCCGTGAGCAATTGTCACTGTGATCTGATGTCTCGTCCGCCTGAGGGCTTTAGCTGCGCACTGCTCATTCAGAGAGTTGTTGGTGAAGGAAAGAGAGGAGGGATCAACCCTAGATTGGGAGAAAAGGGTCGCCGGGCTCTGGTCAAAGATTAAGGTTCCATAGTGCTAGCAGTTGCGAAAAGACCTGAAAGCCGTCTACAAGAGATTTTCAAACCTTGCTTAATCGTTGTTACCTGGCTGACATGTATCTCTGCAAGTCTTCACGACACAGGGGTCAGGAACTATGTTCGAATTTACTTGTTCAGGTCATCAAGGTCCTGGAGACGTCCAAAGACACGAAAGTGAAATTCGAGGCCACTCTTGCTATCCAAACTTTGGTGTCCAATCCAGGTACTCAGTCAATGATTTTACGGCAGAATGGAATGTTTTACAGACCTGATGCTGTCCGGCATTGCAGAATGAGCCTTGTGCTTCTCAAACGATGTCAAAATTTGTTGTTGCCATGGACTTTCGATCGTTCTGTTAAACTATATATCGAATAAACCTCCCTCCATGTTTCATCATTGTACCCACTTTGAAGACCCCCACCCACATTTGTTGTTGTCGTGGACTCTCCACGTTGCGGTGGCCAGAGATCCCTCCCATGGTGCACTTTTCAAATGCTAGTGATTCACCTCAGAATCTTTGGCTTGCAGAAGGAGCAAAGGAAACGGCACACTTTGGAAGCCATTTAAAAAGTATACTCCAGCAGATCAAGAAGTCCGCATGGGCAGCACAAGATAAACTGGGAACTATTTTCCCAGTATAGTTTTCCACTATCCTTCCACGATATCTGCAGGATGTCGATCTGTCTTCTCCCTTGTGCGGCTCGGTCGTCATTACCTCTTCCTGGTGAAATCTACTCTCTGAAGAAAATTGATGTAATTCGGGTGATCTGTGGACTTTGAGTCTTTTTTTTTTACATCCTAGGATTGATGTCAGTTCGTTCGTCCTAGAAACTCTAGAAAATGATCCTGGTAGAACAGAGGAGAGATTTGTGCAATTGCAGCAATTGGAATAAAAGTTGAGGATCATTCCTCGTAGAGTTCACACCACCGTCAGTAACTCTTCTTGTGTTACCTTGTTTGGAAAACGTAAACCACGTCCAGGGTGCCACGAGCAGGATGCAAACCGAGAAGTACGAGTTTTTGCTCAATGCAAGAACAAGCTTTTCTCTAGACATTCCTAAGGCACTGTGAAAGTTGGAAAGTGTTCGTCGTCTCCGATTTCTATTTTTTCTGCAGCAAAACTTTGGAACCTGAAGGAGCTGCTGTGACTGTATTGCATACTGACATGTCTGCATGTCCATTGCCCAGAACATTGAATTTTTTTAAAATGGAAGGCTCCACCCTGTTATGGGCATTAACAATATTCTTATTGCCCACGTTAATCATAGGCCTAGAGTGCACAGAAGACATTTCCACTTTTGATTGAGGAGGCCTGGGAGCACACGAGATCAGTCACATGTTTGGCCACTTCGTCATTAATGGACAGGCTGTGTAGTGGATCTATGGACAAAACTATAAGATTTGGTGACAACCTGAACATTTGAGTGAACACAACCTCGCTAGAATATCGTCACACAAGACGAATTAGTGACGAGCCTCGGTGTAGCGCACATCCTTTTATCATGGATATAAATAGCGGAAGTCTGCCCTCTCCGTTCTGTAGATTGAAGACGAAGAGCTTGAGCTGTTTCGTCGTTGCCGGAATGGACACTCTTCACCGACTCAGTCGGTGTGAATCACGACGGATGCCACATGATTTCTATGAAGCTCGCTTGCACGAAAGAAGTAAACATGATTATATGTCTACCTAATGTCTGGTACCAGGATAATACAAATGATAATGCCTTCATAACTTTGAATTGAGGGATGCGGTGCAATGGCTTGCTGTCAACGATCCGATGGCATGCATCAATCCTCAAGGTCCTGGATGTCAGGTGAGTACTAACTTCCATATTTGAGCTCGTTTGTCTTCCCGGTGCCATACTATGAAGTGATTTTATCTACTCAATCACATGTCGTCTCTGGATTGAACCTGATTTTCTAACATCATCTTGTTTCCAGTTCGCTGTCAAAGACCAGTCCTGAGTATTGTAGATCATACGAACATTGGGCGGGACTGTGATGTAAGAGTACACGACTTACAATGGCCATATATTGATGACAATGAATGTTAATCCATGTGATGAATGAACTCTGCGAATCTATACACGGACAATTTGAAGATGCAGCCACCAAGTTTTTCAACACAAATGAACACGTTCAAAGCTTGACTTGGCGATGCACCGCAAACCATACAGAAATATCACGCAGCTCTCTCTCTCTCTGCCTTTTGCTAATTTTCTCTAGACAACCCCCTTACAAGCCACCAGTCGAAGCAGCCTGCTTGTCTGCCTGCGGACATGCTCAGGATCATGTGGAATGCTTCATCTCTTCGATATTCATCTGCAGCTTGGAAGGATCATGGGGCACAAGAGATGACATCTTCTCATAACTAATGTTCGTTTGCAACACTTTCTGGGGTGCTTTTGGGTGAGAGGTGGGTAGCGTAATGAAGTGAAGTACAAAAAATCTTGTTGTAGATCTGACAGCTAAAGAATTGTCTGTAAAGCATTGAGCAATGCAGAGAACGTCATTGCTGAAGAAACTCACTCGGTCTAACGACTGAAGAAGGTTTGATTTGTGTGTATGCCTTGTTGTCTGTTTGATAATGAGTTCGAATCAATCAAGGGCTCTATGGTACAAAGTGGACTTAAAGACCTTTTCAGGGAAGAAACCAATCTACTCAATTCAGGTGTACAAGAAATTCCTTCACGCTGCTGCATCCCCTATGTAATGTAGCCACCCAAGTCAGCTTCTAAACTCGTCTCCTATGTGTATATTTGCCCCTTGTCATCATCATAGTGAGATTAGACTTGAAAAGATGAAGCTTTTTCCTGGTGGGCCACGTCCGAACCCCAGCTGATGTTCGTTCCGTGGAGCTCAACTTAAAGTCCATATTTTTGGGATCAACTCCCGGCTCCATCGAGGTGGAATTCAACTTCTTTGCCCACGCATATATCACAGGTCGCAGTGAGCCGCTTGTTCCAGATAGCCACCGATTATGTACGGCACGGTAGAGTCCAGCATGCTAGTCGTGCTCGTGGTTCCGAATCTGTGGAATTGAAGAACCTCATTCCGGAGAAAGTGCGGTGCAGAAGCTCGAAAACGGGACGAACACGACAAGTGTCGGGACTTCGTAGTCGGTCTCCGGGGTCGACAAGTAGCAGACAGGGTGCTGATCTGATAGATGAATTTAATTTTCGGCCGAGCCGAATCGGGTTTGGAAGCAGCGACAGCTCCAAACGATAACCATCGGCGTGGACGGAAAAGCGATCTGTCTCCTGGTCGACGACGACGTGTTCCTCAGCGGAGCCGAAGATGGAAATGTCCGAGTCCCGAAGCACGTGTTCCCTTCTTTGTCCCTTCCTTCCCCTCCACGTAAGTTCTGAATCCGAGTCAGCATGCGAGAGGGGCGTACGCAGTGACTCTCGATGGGTGAACTTCGACCGCGCGCGGTTTGCGTAACCTCGTAGCTCCCAGTGAGCCGAGAGATACTAATAATCATCCCAGCGTGAAACTCTATGTTGCCTGCGTAGTTGTGGGCATGTGACAAAAGCAGCGTTACGAGGTTCGGATTTTCCAACGTCGTAGAGACTGGGCAGCATCACTTTAGCAATGCAAATCGATCAGGGCAACTGAGTTAGTGCGGTCTCCCGGCAACGGCGCAACGCACGGACATTTCCGGCGCGAATTTATATAACTTCAAATTTTAATGTTGAAGAATGTTTGTTCTTCCATTCCTATCATGATTTCGTAAAGTCGGTCTAGTTTATTTCGATCCGCGCCTATGATCTCCTTTTCATGTATAGTAATATATTAAGGAATAAAAATTCAATAGTAAATTTATATAATAAACAATGTCCCGTACTCGAATTAAGATTTGATTTTGTGTCATCAAATTGGAGTTGGATTTCGAAGTAAAGAATGCATGGTGGGTAGTTTTTCTGGGGCGGAAGCCTCCTAAAGAGTAACGGAGGTAGGCTGAGGCTAATATTCTAAAAGCTTTAGAGCGTAATGGTATAAGCCTGCCTGACTTACTAATCGAACAGAAAGTCGGCCATAGGTAGGCCCACATTGCCATTTGGCACTAAGTGATCCATCATGCTCAAACATGAATGGGATTTTTAGGTACGGATTATAAATAATTAAATTACCACAAATGGAATAAGCTACTTGAATGTAGCTTTCCGCCAAGTGAGGTAAAAAAAGGAAGTGAAACCAAGGAGGAAGTGATTATTCTGTCGTGTAGTTTTTGGTTTTGGTAAAAATAGCATCGAGCCTAGGGTTTCAGGTCGTAGGTATAGCGTCGAAGGAGACTCGAAGAACGTCAGTTCTTCGAGTCGAGCCTAGCGCGTTGGGAGTAGTGCCCGTGAGCGTCAGACCTGGAGTCTCCAAGTGTGGAATGGGTTGGGCTTGACAATGTTTGTGACGGTGATGGTTTTGTTTCCAGTAGGGTAATAAGGCCAACAGGAATTCAAGTGGGAAATCTCCCATTTATTTCACTCAAAGAACTCATTTTCGTGGCATTTTGCAATCTCCGACGGTCATAGTTTCAGGTTTCGGTGATTTTCAGGTTGCATTTGCTTCGAGTTGTTTTAGTTATTTTGTGTGCGAATTGGTGTCAATTTCACGTGAGTTTCTTCCAGTGGGGAAGTGGGACGACGTCGTGTGACAGGCGGGTGCATGAAAGCTAAAAGGGCGAAGGAAATTTGGGTGGAGAGTTGTGCAAGAAGTTACAAGCGTAGAGTCTTCGGATTGAAAAGAAGATTTTCTCCGAGACACTAATTCGGAGAGGAGGATTGGACATAATTGATACAGGTTTTTGATTGATTATGGTTTGGAATTTCTACTGTTACAGAATCCCCGCTGTAACTACTGAGTATTTATTCGCTCGGACGAGCGAATTTAGAAGCGTTTGAGTTCTTCTTTGATCCTAACACCTCTCAAATTATTGATGTCTTCTTGGAAAGTAAAAGTTCATGATTTTGCGAGGTTATAGATTTTGTTGAAGAACTGCGAGGTGAAACGGAACAAGGTCGGGGTCTTGATTTGAGGCAATTCTTAGAGTTGTCACAAAACGAATTGAGGTTGTAAAGGCTCAAGAAATCACAGATTAGGAAACCGTGCAGAATTAACAGTTTTTACCAAAGTGGAGGGATGAAGAGTAAACACTAATCAGAATGTAGTGCACAACCTCTGGACAAAACTAAATCCGTCAAGTTCTCTGTGATGTTAATTATTTTAGTTTGTTCCTTGAGCGCTTTAACAAGCGAGCGTTCAATTGTTCCAATGGAGACTGTACTTTAGATTTCTTCGGAGTTGTGAAGAAATCTGAAGAAACCAGCGATAGAATTGAACCGTCAGATGTGCGGGTATCAAGATTACCTTTACGCCAACGATGATGAGTCAGTGAAAGTCTTTTCGGGGCCATGAACTTAGTTCTTGAAGCTGAAAGCGATAATGATCCGAACTATGAGGTTTCTGTGCAAGAGCAGCCAGTATCATAATTCACAAGTTCAACTCGCAGGTCGAACCTCAGGTTTTTCAAGCTTCCATCAATTACCTGGGTTATCAATACTTATTTTTCACAAATTTCCCGGCCAAGTACTTGTCAGTTCAAAATCTAGAAGTACCTTGTTCGGAACTGCAACAAGGGTTGAAGGAGTATAGACCACCATTTTGCCACCAAGCGAATCCTTTTGCAGTGTAGCGAAGAGTTCATAAACATTCTTGTGGAGCAGGAATAAGCTTGAGATTCTTGAGACTAAACGTTTCAGACTGAAATAGGTTTAGTAGTAATTATAGGTACTTTGTATCAGACTGAGATAGACACATGGGATAGACGATGGTCCTTTCCTTTGTTTTAGACACGGGAGATTTGGTCTTATCATTCGAAATTTAAAGCTCGTGACCATTCTTAACAAGCTGGAGGAGTGCAGGTTGCTCAAACGTAATCAGCTTGCTTACTGAGGAAGTTGCATGCATGAGAAGTTATGTATACACAATAATATTACAGTCATGGAGAAAGCAGGTTGTGAGCTTTATTTTCCGCATCGGCATAACATTCTATACATTGCTATACTGCAAAAATTGTTGTTCTTTGCCTAGAACAGGGAATGTATGCAGGAGAGTCATGTAAAGGAAGCTAGATCTGGCTTCTTTGATAAGGTTGCAGCATACGCAAATAGGGAAAAGAACGTTATGGAGAAGAAGTGAATATTTTGAGGTTATTTGCTCAAGTTGGAAAGTGTGAAGATAGTATACAGGAAGAGTGAATCTTTGCAATTAAGTGACTTCATTGGGAGTATAGTAGTAGTGTAGTTGAGTGGCTTGTGTCACTACACACCCTGATATTAGTATAGTCTCAATGCAGCAGAAGTATGTAAACTCAGGAAACTAAAAACAGTACCAAACTGGTGATATTAGTATCTGGAATTTGAGATTATTTAAAGGAGCTACTGTAGTCTCACTGAGTTTAGGGTGTACTCCTCGTCACTAGAAGAATGGTAGAAGCTATGATCATTGGAGATGCTTCTTAGAATTTTTCAATCTGTGGAGTACTTTGTTAGTCCTAGTGTGCAGGCTCACGGGAAGATATGGTGTTACTGTCCAACTATTGAAGTTGTTTAATAGTTTTAGTGTTAAACTGTTGTTAGTTCTATAAAACTAGTGGCCACACA